GTGAGTGATTTTGTGAGTGATGGCCTATTTGTGATTGAAGGGAGGAAAATCTCCAAGTCATCTCCACGATTCTCAATGACAAAATGTTACAATAGGGGGTGGGACATGTTTCAGGTCTATCCATGATATATATCATCTTTTGCCTATCATAAGCCCATCATCAGGCAAATATATTGAAAATCCTGCAACATTACTTAGAGCTAGTGAAATTGTTCAAGATAAGATCATATGTAACTCACATACTGAGCATGGATACTGTGGACTTTGCAAAAATAGCGATAGCACCAGATGTTGTATTACAAAGGATATAGTAGGTTCGGATTTTTCAGAAAAAGTACATCATGCTTGTGTTTTTGTGGCGTTGAATTCAACCAAGTTATTGGTCGCCAAGCCGAGACGTTGACCTGCATTCGTCGTTAGTTTCTAGTTTCCTGGAATAAAATAAAATTTCTGGAACAAAATGCAGTATGGAGCAAACTATCTTCCGTAATATCGTATACTATCACATGTATAGGACAATCCCGAAACTCCAAACGAAAGCATAGTTGAAGTGATGAGCCATAATATAGTATGACTTGGTGCCAAACACTGTACTGGGCCACAGCTAGATACGAGGCTAGAAATTCTTCATGATATCTAGTTGAGATCGATTGCGGAAGCCATATTAACGATCATTTCAATTATAATTCTTGTGCATTATTTAACAATATTTGATCAGCGGATAATAGTACGATAGGCCTATAGTTGCTGGAAACTAATCCTGATTCACACCTTCTAAGAACAATGAGTCGAATTCCGGCGACCTTATGCGTTCGAACACCACGCGATTTCTTCATAAGGAAGGACATCTTGAGGCTGGCTCTCTTTCCTATATGAACATTAGGTAAATATCAAACATTGTAATCAAAAAAACATCCAGGAAGATTCCTTACATACTTTAGGATCATAATTCATCATCATGCTTCGACATCATATTGTATAACCGTGTACGAATTCAACGAAGCATATTATCAAAAGGTATAATGATAAATATCAAGGAATATTGATGAATTTTCTGCATTCCTTACATCCACTGTTCTCGAAATTGAAAATTGTTCTGGAAAAAGTCACGTCCGCGGAAATATAAATTCCTCTGCGCCTACATAATCTCCATTTGAAAAACTCATCTAAAATTAATTAAGCTAATAGTACTTTCGAATTAATTCTGTTCAGCACTCGCCTTCCAAAACGACTTAGTAAATTGCTTTGCCACGTTCCTTTAATCAATCTTTTTGTATCTTTTTGTATCTTTTCTATTGTTTCCACCATAAAACTTGATGAAACCGAATCTGTAGATAGATTTATTTGAACATCATTTGCATTAGTGGTAAGATGATCCTAACCTAGTATAGGTACGCTGTTTAATGATGGCTGGTGACTTTTATCTCATGATTACCATGTTCACAAAATGTTCGCAATTCTTCGACATAGTTAATGCCTTCATTCAAAAAAATTCCTAAATATCAACAACTATAACAACAAACAAATAAGCTTGATGGAAGACGAGATGACCAACCACTCTTGGTTCTCATCAGCATTCATACTTATAGCACCGAACATTAACAGTTCATGTTCGGTGCTTATAGTCTCCGATCGCGGCATCATCATTTACTATTTTATTCAATCATGAAAAAGTTATACGAATACAACTCGTTATCCATTTTTCCTGCAAATATTCGTCAATTTTGACATGCTGGAGCTGGCTGATTCAATTTTCGTTCTCACCTAATAACGAAATGACAAAATGTCCCGAAGGCATGTGGAAACATTATATTTTATCGAACGACACCTGCTCCCTGTGCCTATCACAATCCTGAACATAATGAATAAATGACACGTTTCTGTGCGGTAATTTGACGTCCGAAAATAGTGATTTTGTGCCACTTCAATTAGGTAGAAATCAACAATTATAATAGGCTAGGAATCCATTGATGCCCTAACTGCATCTAAATATTAGAATGTCATACCACTACCTGGGCCAGTGCAAGGCGTTATGATTCGAAATCTCTGGTACCGATACGCTTCAACAGAAAGATCAAATTACTAAGGTGGACAGACATACTGACCTTCATCAGAAATCCACGGAGGTTCGAAAAGGAGAATTAGGAGAAAGAATAGTAGATATTATGTGCACATGACGTGTGCAGCAGGGGTCGGCAAAAATGGCTCACTAGGGCCTACTTGCTAGGCGACCGCCTTCCCTTTCTCTACTACTAGTACTACTAGTATGTATACCTATACCTATGAAAGATTATTTGACAAAATTATAATTTCTTATCACTTGTAGTATCCCGAAGTTGATATAAAATGGAAGAATATAATATATACAGGGTGATTCAAAAGTAAGCGGCATCCTTTCAGAGGCGTATTCCTTGCATGAAAATAAGGCAAAAAGTTCCTATTGATAAGGATCCGAAAATGCTTCCTAAGGGAGCTACGGCCCTTTGAATAGGACACCTCAAAGACGGTTTTTTCTCTATAACTTTAAAATCCTTCACAACAAATTTTTAAAAATTGGTGTACGGCATAAACATTCGATGGTAAATAGGACTCCGTATTCGAAATAATTTCCAAACGAAATCACAGTAACCTGAATATCCGGAGAAGAAGGGATATTTTTACACTTACCCTCTCCCGCATGTGACGCCCCTGAATGAAATTCTGAAATTTCGAATACGGAGTCCTATTTACCATCGAATGTTTATGCCGTACACCAATTTTTAAAAATTTGTTGTGAAGGATTTTAAAGTTATAGAGAAAAAACCGTCTTTGAGGTGTCCTATTCAAAGGGCCGTAGCTCCCTTAGGAAGCATTTTCGGATCCTTATCAATAGGAACTTTTTGCCTTATTTTCAAGCAAGGAATACGCCTCTGAAAGGATGCCGCTTACTTTTGAATCACCCTGTATGTTACATTTTAAACTAGTATTTTCATGCAAATATAATTAGTAGACAATTAGGAATCTATATTATTGGTGCCGAAACTGCGACCCAAACTAAATTTATTCGTGAACCTGTATACAAATCAAATGAACAAATAAATTCAAAAATTTTTTGAATCCCAAACACAATCTGGTATGAAATTTTCTTACAGAATACCACACGAGGTCAAATTACTTTCCGGAAATTTTTTCTCGCTCATGAAAATTACGAAAATTATCCCTTGTCTTCGACTCAACTATACGGAATACAGATTATAATCTATCTAATCTATTAGACAAGTCATAACTTCTGGAATATTCAGTGTATCTAAATGAGATTCATTTTGATATTGGTGAATGGTATATGATGAAAGCTTCCGCATAAGAATATTATTCTTATCCTTTAACTTACCTATACAGGGTGACCCTGAAAGATCTTCACAAGAATTCACCACATATTCTCCAGACCAAAACAATCCGATGCAAGCAAACTTACCTCAGTACAACGTTGCTTAGTTTGGGCGCTAGACGGCTCTGTAGTTGCAATTTCTGAATCGTTTTTGCTTCATAACTTCGAAACGGCTCATGAAATTTTTCTCAAATTTGGTACGTTGGCATACTGGACAATAAAACCAATATCATGATTATGATGAATATCATAACCCTGTGCAGTACACAACACCAAGACGTTTCAAAACGAACACAATGATGTATTCCACTCAAAATTGAGAGAATAATAGATAGACAAATCTTCATCTGCTCTTTCAGATGTAGGCGGCTATCAAAATTTTTGCAAGCTCTAAATTCTGATGAAGATCTGAGAATGTGATGCCTACAAAACCACTTATTCCGGAATAGTATATTGTGCAACAAGTGGGAAAAGTGCTTTTCCCCACATGTTGCACACTATACTTTTTCTACAACTGCACTTATTCAAAGAATCCGAGTAATGTAGCTTAATGGTATTCATTTTATAATGTGGCACTATGCCTAATTGAATATTGTGACCAAAGAGTAGACGCCTTTCCTAGTTCCTTAAAGTATTTCAAAAAAGTACACTTTCCGAAGAAGATTTTATTCCTGTATTTTTTAGATTCCATAAATTCTTCGCTTATGCCAATTCATTCTTTTTTCTTGAAATTTACGGAAACAAATCCAACTTTCGCAGCTTCATCCATTAATTATCTCTGTCTCTGGCGGTGTATTTTTCAAAATCGTCACATCTCGGTATATACATCATATTATTTGTTATGAGAATTACCCTAAAGTATTTAAAAAACTTCTTCTGACAGTTGTGACAACTATTCAAAGCTGAACAGCAGCCAAGTTTTGGTCGATTTTTGTTGATTCTCCATGGAAATGTATGTGGTGTTGGCAAAGTGCCGTGAGAAAAAATATTTCTCACAGTATGAGCAATACATATGGTTTTGAAACTATGAGAAATGCGCTACTTTTCATAGCAGTATAATAGAAAAAAGCTATTACAAGTAAACACATCATCAATGGGTTTATAAGGGTATGGTGGGTGATGAGGCAGCAAACGTATATGCAACTTCACTGTAAAATGTGATAATATGCCTGTCCATTATATTTTTGAAGAAATTTGTATTTATCTCTGGGCATGACACAAGACCAGAGCATTTATTATCTTTGATCCAAAACTATGCGAAAACTTCTCGTAGTTTCGATGACTAGCCTGGAATATATGTTTCAGATTCCTTGATGAATCTTTCAATTTATCCATAATGATAGCAATCATGATACTGGCATGATTCATCAATAGGATAGATGGTGTTTTAAACCACCAAAGTGTCCTCTATCCACAGAGCGGGTATCGTAAGTGTGTCAAAATATAATCTGAGTACATATGTTGATTATGTAAATATTCCAGAGTATTGATCAAATCAAAACACTGATAGGAAAAAATTCAAAACATAAAACATTGATTATTATCAATAGTCAATAATTGAGATTATAGGTATCTGAAGTACGATCATCATCAAGTTCTCGATATAGATATGTGTTGAGGTCCTGAAGCATCCATTCTAGTACCTATTCAGTCTACAAAATGTCGGTAATCAAATGGTTTCCAGTATTGACAACCATTAGTTATTTGTCTGCCGTGAGTATGTTCATTTGTGTATTCTAGAAGTAACGGGAAATTGGAACTTGGGACGATTTGCTAGGTCATCCAGATCACTCGATATCGGAACACAAATTAAATTTCTGCCCTGCCGACGTGATATCGAAAAATGATAGAAACCTTTACTACCAACTAGCAAGCATTAAAATTGGATAAGGCGCAGTATATGTATCAACGTCAGCACTCCCACCGCAAATCTTTGATTTATGTTTTGGAGTATTGTGTGGTTTCGTTTACAACTACAACCGTCACTATATAACACAGATTAACAAACCTTATTACCTATAACAAGTTATGCTGGGAGAAATGCAACACCGCATCGCCGTGATCAGAAAGTCCTACTCTCGACTGACGACCACAGCGACATAGAACTTAACGTCAATTCCTGGCTTTGGAATAATTGAACTTCAATTAAAGAAATAGCAAGGAATTCAGTCTCTTATAGATGGAAAAATAAACAACTGGCAAGTCCCATTCTACATAGACCATTCAAGTTCACGAATTGCGAGGCAAGATCTCACCTATTTAGGGAAGAATCCATTTTAAATCATTGAATCCAAACTTACCGTCTCATAGTGAAACTTGAACCTACATATCATTCAATACAACTACTTGGGAAGTTATTTTCAATGGATGTCTGACAGGGAACTAAATTGATAGATTTTTTAAAATAAACTATGTTTTTATTTGGAACAGCTAAATATTCGTATTTCATCGATATTCGTTCCTAATGATGTAATAGGAGGTTTAGATAGATACCTTGGTAAATTTTGAAGAATTGACGGAATTGCTGTTTCAACTAACTGAAGGAGGTATCTCAGCAAATTATTCCGAATTGATCGATCTGGAAGAGAAAATGTATCATATCTGTTATTTCGTTTCGTTGTTTTGATAGATGATTTTAGTGGACTGAATTGTGATTAGGTTACTGATTCTGATAATACAATTTCATTGTCTAGGATTTGAAGTATACACACTCGTAACTTTTGAACAATATATGTATATTCGTCGAAATTAAAGAAAGGGCATATGAAGAATGTATTATAGAATATAGTGAAATGAACAATCAACTAAAGATCAGAACTCGGCCTGATCCCAATTATTGGTTTTTGGATTCACAATTTCGCCCCCTCTTCTGCATGTGGCGTCAGCTCTGTTCACGGTTCCCTGCAGATAAGGAGCATTGTTTTATATCATTATGTCATCGTCACCTCGGTTGACAGGACCACCTCACCACACCGAGTCCATGACATAGGAAGGAGAAGACTTTAGACTTAGACTTATCATACTAGAATACTAGATAATAGAGACACATATTTTATATTTTATAGAGAGCAGAACTGTTAGTCGATCTACCGGATGGAAAAATAGAAGGCTATGCAAGAGTTACTCCAAACCTATTCCAATTCCATGCTTTCCAAGGAATTCCATTCGCTAAACCACCTTTAGGAGAACTTAGGTTTCAGGTAAGTGAATTAAAAAGCAGAAGAATATTCAGGGATAATAAATACCAATACTATCGATAGTAACTTTGTAAATCAACTAGAACGTGAGGTCAATATCGGTCAAAAACCCCAAAATTTTGCCGGATAGGCGGTGGTCTGTTTTATCAAAATCATTCGGAAAGAATCATGTTGAATATTTGAACAAATAGAAATCCAAGTTATGCAAAGGCTTTAGCAGACTTTTTTTCAACTCTAAATATGGAACTTTACGACCAATTTTTACATTCATAGAGAAGTAGATATCGTAGGAAGAGGCCTTATGGCACAAAAAGAAGAAGTAGATTTATCAGTTCTACCAACTCAGCCTTGATGAACTTTCTTCCTATAAAGTGTATATTTTTTAAAACCGATCCATCTCTTGATGATTGTATGTAACTTACTTCTATACCAGAACATTCAGCCGCTACAGCAGGGCGTTGGAACGGAATTTCTATTTTTTAGTTTCATGCAAGATCCTGTCTTTTGAATTCGTGAAGAAATCAGTGCCACATATTGTATATCATTGATATATAATTGATGATTTCATACAAAATCAAGTACGAACCTACAATTACTGAATAAACTCTACGCAACACTAATTTCGTTGTTCTGCTCTGAACAATTCGAGTTCGGATCAGCCCAGTACTTCAACTAGAATTTCGTACTTCTTCAAAATATGAGGTTCTCCACATAAAATCGCTACAGGGTGTTACCTGAAACTGTGCAAAATTTCGAAGTTTTCAGAAGGGTTCCTAATGAAGGAAAACTTCGTTTCGTCCGAAACTTTGATACCAGAGGCATGAAGATGGCCTCATCATCTTGTGATACTTTTGGAATTGTCAGTTTTTTTTTTGTTTACAGAATGATCTCAAAAATAACTTTTTGATTTTGAAGTTTTAACTTTTTTCCTTCTCAACCGATAACGAAATTTCAGGTTTATTTTGAAGCTGAAACTTCAGATCAAGAGATGTATGTACAGGGTGGCCCATCAGTGCAACGGCATTCCTGTTTGAGATAGATAACCAAAAATTTCGGAGATGGTCTAAGCTATTGAGCACTTGAGCAGCACATAATTTTCTAAATATTTTGTGTTATACAGGGTGACTCAAAAATAAGTTGCGTATCAAAGTTACCTATACTTTTTCTTATGTATTGAATTGTATTTTTAGATACTTCCTTAATGAGCGGATTTTATCGATCTATCACACTTTAGGTTCAAGGGAAATTATGACAGAGATATGAGGGTGTGAAAATCGAGACTTTCGGAATTTTTCGTGTGAAAAGTAGGTACTCATTATTGATCAAAATGGCATACATGTAGTCTTTATTTCAACTTTTGATTCACCATTTACAGACTTTTTCTTTTTTAGTTTTCAATTACTTCTGAGACCTTTAGTGAAACACTTTCTTCCTTTTTTTTGCTAGTGACATTACGTATATTTCAAAATCCAAAAACTAGATGAATTTCAATTTTCACAGATAATCCAAGTCTCTCTGCATACATTTGAAGTTCAAGTGTTATTACTGAGAATTTAAAATGTGGAGCGCCTAAAAACGAAAGCATATATAAACCATAACAAAAGAGCTCGTAAACAAATGTGATGAATATTTTGTGCCGGGATATTACCAACCTCTTGGAATCAAAATTTTGAGCAATGAAAATTTAGTTGTGAACGTATTATAAGATTGTTGACGGTGCACTGGCGTATCAAAATTCTCAGAAAAGTAGATACTATAATCGATATGCAGATGAAAACTATTACACACTACAGCACTCTACATTACAAACTTTGGACAACTTCTGTATTTTACTGACGACAACAGATAATAGGCCAAATTTTGAATGACTTCAAGTAATTATGTAATGTATACTATTTCAGCCACCTCTTCCACACCCAGGTTGGAAGGGAGTCTTGGCAACAAAGAAAGATGGAAACAGATGTTTTTCACAGGACAACAATCCCAAGGAGAAGGAAGATTGCTTATCATTGAGTGTATTCACCCCAGTGCGGAAAATAGTAAGATATTCATTACTGAGAAACAATTATTTGATCCACCATCATTCAGGAATGTATTTCTATTATTTATTCGATTCGAGTCCAATAATGGTTTCAAACAATTTGGACACCAATGAAAGAATAAAATCCGTGTCTCCTTAACAAAAATATGTTAGAAAAATACCTCGGACAGGTCGGTTTTTATTCCATTGTATCACTCGAGCAGTTAATTAACCTATATTTAATATAAGTTTTTCATTCTCAGCAATGTCCCTAAACGGACATTCAGTATGAAAAACTTATTTTAAATATACCTAGGTCAGCAGCGGATTTACTGGTACTTCCGCCTAGTATGCTCAAGCTTAGGGCACCAGCCCTTGCCGGGACCCCACAGGGGCCCTGGCATTGCGTCACCATTTTGCCTCATCATATTAATAGAATAATGATAAAATAAATGTCTACTTTGAGCAATAGGTACTCATTTTATATAGCAGCAACGGCAACGTTGCAAAAATGTTCTGCCGATTTCATAGGGACAGTATATAGGTATTGCTATTTCCTAAACGCCGAGCTTCGCCCAAGTGGTTCAGGAAAGTGTGACTACCTGCAGACCGGTTTTGAGCTCTTGGCTCTTATCAGTGCAGGGCTGTCTCAGATAGCATTCTTGACCGCTATCTGGTGCGAACCTGACCCAAAGTAAACGCCTCTCAACATTTATACCCCACGTGGTGTTCAAAGTCCGTGAAATGAACGCGATCGCCAAACGCCACCTGGCAAGGCATCAAGAACGGAAGGAAGCACTTGCGATTTTATTCGTCCATACGAATTATTGCATAGATTTCGGGAGGAGGTAATCCAATGTTCTGCGTGGCCTATATAGTCAGGAAAGTAGTTTTTCTCTCGTTATCTACCTGTTTCGTTCATTTTATAAACTATTGTGGTAATGACTAGAGTTTCTCTCTCTTTGTGACCATATTGCATTCCACTTTGAGTATTTGGTATGGATGTGTTTTGGAAGCTGACACCTCGCATGAATTTTTTGTATCTTACTCTCATAAAAGCGCTAGCACGGTTCGTACCGAGTAGATTCAAACAAAACTTTTTTGAGGTTAGATTTTTCACACTAAAAAGGTACTCTTGGTAGAATTAGATATCGTGTACCTACCGTTTTCGAAATATTTCAAATTGGAATTGATGAAGAGATAACTGTTGCTGGTATAATAAAGCTATGTATTATAGAGTAAGCATTATGGAAAACTATTATCTATTTATTGAACACCGAAAACAATATATTTCAAATGCTGAACGTTTTGATTGAACATTGAAAATCAAGAACAGCATTGAAATAAATATGACCAAAAACAAGAGATACACAGTTTTGTTGTATCTTGTGGAAAAAAATATGCTACAGAGGTAAAATCACGTCAAAAGGTGCAAGACAAACATCACTCAATTGACCTAACAGCTGATCCTCAACGGATTAGTGGAATAATGCATTCTCAATAAAAAAAGATGGTGTATTCGTAGGGCTTCGCGAGACCATCAAAACCATCAAGACCAAGACTGGCTCAGTAGAAATTTGACTTATTCAATTCAAATATCCAACAGTTTATATGTATATTATAGGTACGTATTTCGTATTTCTCAGTCGTTAAAATGGTCAATTTGTGCGTATAAAGTAATGGAAATAAATTTCTCCCTTTACCATAAGAATATAATTTTTAGGAAACCTCAAATATAAACATTGAATGAGACCCAAACAGCATACAGGCCGACGCCTGACAGGCCAGAAAATTTTTTCAAAAGAATCTGAACTGACAACAACGCATTTATCAAAATATTTCAAAAAATTACAAATTCAAAGCAAATAACTTTTGTATTGAATTTGTTTCTATCTCCAATAGCAGTAGGTATGGACCACTGTGACCTTTACAACATACACCTATTTGTTGTAAACTTCAAAACTGCAATACTGAATTTGAAAAATTTATTTCGGATTTTGAGTGAACAGAAATTAAAAACCTACCATATGACAAATGCATAACTGAAATAAAATGCCATTACATTTTCCATCAAATTTTTCTTAATATTGAGTAGATTTGAGATCATTTATTTTTCTCTAGAAACCAAGATCAAGACTCTTCTTGGTCTTGGGAAGATTTATTAAGTCTTGCATGGTTTTGGTCTTGTATCAAGGCAGACTGGACTCTTGGTCTCGCGAAGCCCTATGTATTCGTGGAAACGGAGGACATTTTGTACACTTACTATAACTGATTCACTATTTTATGTTTTTAGTTAAATTTCTCTCGATTTTCGACTTGTGATTCTTTGTTGAATCAATAACTTTAGCACAAGAACGTTTTGTTTTTGAATTAGAATAAATAGGTACCTTTTAGATCTCAATAATAATCATTTTATATGTACAAGCTTCAGCTATCACTCCATTATTTTGAAATCAAAATATTCCGAAAACGGTACACACAGTTGACTCATCGTGATTCCCACACAGCAAAACGCCACGCTCGTCCCGGTGATGGTCTACTTCCACGGCGGCGGCTTCAGGGGAGGCGGCAACTCCTACAACTCCTACGGGCCCGACTACCTCCTGGAGCACGGCGTCGTCATCGTGTCCGCCAACTACCGCTGCGGCGCATTTGGCTTCCTGTCCACCGGCGATCACGTGGTGCCAGGGAACGTCGGCCTGAAGGACCAGGTATTGTATTGTATTTTATTAAATCCTTCTTACTATCGATACAATAAAATGGACGAGTCAACACAGGTAATCAATGCTAGAATACTGAATTATAAATAATACAAAGCTATAAATAATACAAAGCTATTAATAATACAATAATGGACGAGTCAACACAGGTAATAAAAATTACTAGAATACTAAATTATAAATAATACAAAGCTATAAATAATACAATGGACGAGTCAGAACAGGTAATAAGAAATACTAGAATACTAGATATTGAATGGAATCCTAAACAATTATATACAAGTATAAGTAAATAGCTGAAGTACAGCGCACTAATATAGTTTCACATTATTGGACAGGAACCAATGATTAGTTACAGTTGATTACACAATACAAATAATAACAATCAAATTACAATGAAAACTCGAATAACACTGGACAGAAAGTTATCAAATTCTTCCAAGTTGTAAAAGCAATTTTGTATCAATATTTTCTTCAACCTACTTTTGAAAACTTCACAATAATTAGGACTAGCTTTCACATTATTTGGAAGCTTATTGAAGTATGAAGCTCCAGCCCCAAGAGGAGATTTTTTATCAAAAGAGTGTTTCGATTTTACGGCTGCCAATAATTTTTATGCCTGGTGTTATGACTGTGGACATCACAATTCCTTGTCAGTTTATTTCGTAACCGGTAAATATGGCACAATAATTTAAGCAAATAAATGGAGGTGACTGTGAGAATTTCATTTTCCTTAAACGCATCGCGACACGAAGTTTGAATTGGAAGGTTGAATATAAAACGAATTATTCTCTTTTGTAAAGCAAAAAATCTTCGGATGTCACGCCCTCTTGTCCCCAAACGATGAAACTCAAGGTGCTTAAAGAGTCTCACCTTCATGCAACATTCATTATAACCACATTTTCACTATACATTATCATTACATTTTCACTATCCCTGAGGTACCAATTCATGGCCATAATGAACTAATCATTCATATTCACTGTTTCCGCCATTTTCGCACGACCTATTGAGCTCGTGCGAGAATTGTTGCACTGAGCTCTAAACTATGTGAACCAGTTTTCAAATAGAATTCAAAACTCGACACCAGTTTTACCAATGGAATACAAAATATGCGCTCAGTGCGAGCCAGTTTTACCAATGGAATTCACTATCAGTGGCAATCCAATCATCATCAAATAGTGATGAAAAGTTTGAGTGATGAGGTTTCAAGAAAATAAAGGAGATTACTTTCCAAAAAATATAGTGCTCAAAATTATTTTCATGAAACATCTACTTTGTTTTTAGACGAATATCAGACAGACCAACTTATCCGATTTAACCTCCACAATAATTTTATTATAATATTTTAAATTTCGTATTCCATTGGGAATGCACCAGTTCGCATTTGGGAGAGAACTAAAGTAGTGCGGGTGCAAAACTGGTGCAAAACCAGTGCACTACTAGGTTTACGAATGGAATTAGCTATTAGAGACTATTGTCCAGGTGCTGGCCTTGCAGTGGGTGCGGAGGAATATCGAGTATTTCGGAGGAGATAAGGAGAAGGTGACGATATTTGGGCAAAGTGCAGGTGGAGCGTCTGTAGGATTGCATATCGTCAGCAAGATGTCAGCTGGTGAGTTTATCCATTAGTTGCAAGGGCATTGATTAGGGTGGAGGGTCATGGGGATATTTACCCCCCTCCCCCATAAATGATAATTTGTAGGTAATAGGTATAATAAGTAGACATTTATAACTGTTCGATTCGTGATTCGTCTATTAGTTTAGTTTTGTTTCTGATCCTAATATACTGGTGACACACTTCAGATGTATATAGACACCCGCCCTGTATTTCAGTCATTTTTGAAAGCAGAGACTTGATTTTTGGTACAGACGTAGACCTTCGCATGAGTCGTACTTTTCGCAAAACGTGAATCGTGACAGCCTCTACTGCGGGATCCCGCTAAAAAGCAATTTCTAGATAATTTGCTTTGCGTTAGAGACACGAGAAAAAGTTATTTGCAAAAGTTGCTTAGAAATCTTATTTTGACCCTACCTAAATACCGCATTTCAATGCAAAATTTGATTTTTGAATGTTTTGTTACTTTCATTTTCAAGTGCAATTTACGATAAATGCATAATTCTGAATAAAAAGCTACAGAAATGATGAATTAGTCAGAATCAATGAAATAATTAATTGAAATATCTGATATTGAAATTTATAATTTTACCAAATGTACGTTAATCGAATTTAACCTCCTTCATGCACTAGCCTATCTCCCGAAATTCAGAATTCGAATTTTGCGTTGAGACCCGCTATATAGGATCAAAATTGATTTCTAATCAACTTTTTCAAATAACTTTTTTCGGTATCTTCAAAACGCGAAGCAGAATATCTAGTATTCGCTCTTTTCGCGAAATCGCATGCATGCAGTAGGAATTGCGAAATGTACGTACATATACTTAGCTGATGTAATCAGGCAAAAATCAAATCTCAGCTTTCATAAAAAACTGGAATAATAATAATAATAATGATAAATCGTCTTTATTCATCATTTGCAGGAAAAAAATTGCACAAATAAAAATCAAAAGACAAAGATAATTTGCCATACCTTATTACCTATCTGCAATGGTGAATAGGCGGAGTATCAGCAGAAAGCTGTTTTTCAACTCAACCCCAATACACGGGTGTATTTATTATTTATGGCTTCCTATAACTTGATTGTTTTTCGTTACCTACCTAAACCAAAAAGACATAACCCCCAAGAAAAAAAATCATCGACGCCCCTGATTAGTTATTCAAGGTGATCTGTGTAAGGGTACAAAAAATGTCGCCTACCATCTTGAAAAATTCCTGAAAAGTTACAGAGCAATCCAAGTGAATTTATGACATTAATTCCTGACCTTTTTTTTATGTTCTGATTCCCACGAAAAGGGATATCCTGTAATGTTCAGAGAACATCGTGAGAACGAAGGGAAATAAGGTAGGAATTGGTGTTCTTCTTAAATTTATGGAGGTTATATGCCTCGGGGAACACCTCCCTTGGTAATGTGTTCCAGAGCCTCGCTATTCGTTGAATGAACGAGTCTTTGGAAAGAGATATTCTGCAGGTCTCCAAAGTGATCACGAAGGGGGTGCGAAGCCTCAACTAGACGGGTTAATCTCGCGGGGACTGCCAAGGGAAGAACAATTGTTGATAATTCAGAAGAGCATCGTCCATGAAAATATCTATAAAATAGAGCCAGATCGCCAACTTTTCTACGGTGTTCCACAGAAATGAGTGAGTTTGTGAGCGAGGCATCACCCACGAGACTTATAGTTCAGTACCTACAAATTATAATTTGCAGGAATGTATTGTTGAAGACGTAAATGTTCTGACAGTCACTGAACGAATTCCAGAACAATCATTCTGATAGAGGTACAGATGAGATTTGAAAAAAGTCCTCGAGTCTGGAGGCCTCCCACGTCGTCAAGAGGGACGAAATCTTCAATTCGACAAATAGTTATGTACGGGTTCTGAGGAAAACCCACATGCTCTTCATCCATTTCAATTCCAGGACGGTTTTCAATAAACATTATTTGTTGAGGAGAATGTATTATCCACTCAAAACAGTGCATTTAGTGTGATGGTTCAATATCTGAATAATTTTTCCCATTTCTGTTGTGCTGTCTTGTGTGATATCTGCAGATATAAAATATATTTTCCATTATATATGCATTGGTAGAGCGAATCCGATAATATTGAGCAACAAAAAATATCACTGTATCACAAGGAAAACCGTGAAAAAGATTTATATTGATTGGTTATCGAAGACAATAAGATTAAAAGATGGCACTTTCCTGTGCGGTAATTTGCACTCAATTTCGCGATTTGATAACGAGATGACAATTATGCCATCCGATACCAATTGAATGGTAGATCTCAAAAACCTACCTGTGCCAACCCACAATCTGGACCAAATCCACGGCACAGCGATTCATTTGCTGTCATTATTCCGGACATATACTTCCGTGTCATTATTCCGGACATACTTCCATCTACGGTCTGGCTTGTGGGGAAACATCTTCTAATTGTTACCCAAGTAAGATGTATAAAATTCAGCTTTCATACTCAAGTTGAGGTTCAATTCATCAAGATTTAAGGGTGTCTGGCAAGGGGTAGGCACCATCGTAACGTGTCTGGCATTGGATGACGTGGTAATATTATCCCGAATAAAATATAAAAAAAATTTTAGCACCTTTGCTCCCTGTAACTTCCCAAAGGCACCATGACCTAAACTTCTAATTTGCCCATCGTTCTTAGATGTGATGGGAGCATGCGCTGAGAAACTTTCAGCTTTTATAAAATAACGGAGGTCTGGCGTTCATGCGATCTTATTCTTTTATAACTGAGTTATTGGCTGTATGAAAAGATCTGGGACACCCGGTGTATATAGCCACAGCAATTGACCTTCTTTTGATTCATTTAACAGTTTTTGTGAACAATGTGAACTATTACGTTATATTGTTGTCACATGTTTTTTTTTTTTTTCAGGATTATTCAGAGGAGTAATAGCTGAAAGTGGTTCCGGTGTCAGCGTTTGGGCCTACGAATCGGATCCATATAGTTATGGCTACAAACTTGCTGAAGCAATAAACAGTACCGTAAAATTCAATAACAGTTTGGAACTTATTGAATTTTTGCGAACGATTCCGGCAGAAGAAATCGATAAATTTGCAACAAATATTGTTAGTATCTTGAAGCAATTTCAATGAACTTTTGACAAGATTTATTTACAGAAGATTTCTAGATAATATAGGTATACCGGGTGTAACAGGACCATGATACACAAAACCATTTTGATGAAACTAATTTGGTGATAAAATAGAGAAATTTTACATGTTTGACATGATTTATTTTTTTTAGCATTACACCTGTCATATGAGTATATCAGACTCGATCAATGCGCACTAAGATGGAAAATCAAAAATGGAATTAAAATCAATATTGAGGTTTGAAATGTCACTTAATAAGTAGTATCGTAGAATTCGAAAATGGAATGATATACAGGTTGTTCCATTTGAAATTAAATAGGTATTGCCTTCATTCATTTATGTCAAGCCGTGATGCTTATCAAGTTCATGGGTAATTCCGAATTTCAATTACTTATCTCTAAAACTAACGGAGAAAATGATTCTGTTACATCCGGTATACATCTATATTGGATGTACATTTTGTGTCCGTCAGGAGACATCCATTGGACATCAATTTTGTAGATATACATCAAGAGTCGTCCATTCATTATGACTATCCCTTTACTACTCCAGCTAAAATCATCTTCAACTTCTTCAAGAAGTATGATGAAATTTCACTAATTTCTATTGGGACGACTTGAATAGTAATTTTAGCGTTTCATTATATGATTATTGGATTGATAACTTGCAAATTGGTATGTTGTTATAATCGATCATTTCTAATCAACCTGAAATATTTTTAGTCATCCAACTTTACAAGGTGTGCCAAAAGTCAGCACCAACTTTTTTTTTCCAATAGAAACCTATCTTTTAATTTTTTCTCACACGATTCGATTGGCCTTCTTATTCTGAGTTTGGACAGCCTAATTCATGTGAGGATTAATACTTAGCTGTGTGCACGTGTATTCTAATTTATGCCAACTAATCTATCAGAGTTTGATAGTCATCAATTTTTCTGAAAATAATTTCCGCCATAGTAGTTTTCGAAAACATTTGTTTCAGGCTAACCGTACAAAATTTGTGGAACAGGTAACTTATATTCCTGACATCTCATCGATGGTACCATTCTGTACCATATGAGCGCAGGCAATTTCCAAATATCGCATTGAAACATTACTGAAAACTCAACTTTTTCAAATGTTACAAACAAGTTGAACAAATGTTTCATCGAAACGATAATAAAATCCTCTTTTTTCTGTGACAGGAAAAAGTTTGAGATCTCATCTCTGTTGACAGGTTATAAAATGTCACTTTTCATAAATTACTCTTTCCACGGGAAAGTACTTTTTCCCGAATATATATATCACATATTCACTGTTGATGGCTTTTGTTGTTCCGAAAAATAAGCTAATAACACAGTCTCCGAGAAAGAACTTCCTTTTAACTCATTCGACTTCGCGGTCGATTTTGATATAAATGTCATATCTTCTCAATATTAATTCGTCCTTTTTCCTGTCACAGAAAAAAAATAGTGTATTATGTGTGTGTGTAAATATTAGATTTTAGCTCACGGGTTTTTGTCTCCCTCCGCTACACGTCGGGAGACAACATAACTTGGAGCTAATATCAACTACTTTTTCCCGTTGTATAATGAATAACTATCTCTGCTTCTCATTTCAATATAAAGAATTTAACAATTTCATGAAATCCCGGTTTTCTGACCATCCTATATACTTTAGTATACATTGGCATAGAAACTGTATCGATTTGCTCAATACGAATAGCTCCGGTTCTACTAGTGACATATTATACAATCCAAATAAATCCTACAGCCAATCTCGTAAATAAAATATTGTAGCAAAAGTAATGGAAACTGTCAGCCGCTGAGATGAAAGAATTGTTCTGGGAAAAAATCGGAACGGTTTATAAGAGTTTTGCGACCATATTAATTTCAAGAAAAAATTCATCAGACATCAGACCTCTGTGAATAAAGCGTGATGGGACTGATGACTATTATACTGGGTGTCCCGGAGTTTTTAGGCAAACTGATATTTGAGCTATAAATTATTCCACACAAAAGGAAATTATTGGGGAAATTGTGGCATATTTATGGGAGCGAAAGTTATTAGAAATAGTGGGTCCAAACTTTTGTTTTTCAATGTGTAACCACTTATCTTTCGATGTTTTATAATATGGAACAGTTTTTTCTCAATTCAGCTTTTAAATGTATGAAACTGAATATTTTACCAGTACCTACCTAATTCATAAATCAAGACATGAGTTTTGCATAATTTGAATGACCCTCATGAAAAAAGGTACAATATAATTATTGTGAATTGAATAATGGATAGAGATGTAATCCATAAGTTATTGCTGTACTCACTTATGTCGCCTATTTATGAAACCTCGTGGGTACTGAGATTCCATAAATATAAGTAGTTGAGGAAAAAACAATGAAATGTTAATAGTAATGTTACTTTCCAACTGCCCTCAATGAGTAGGTAAGAGGTTATTTGAATGCTTTCAGTCCAAACCACTACCAGTCATCGAAGTCGAGAATCCAACTGCATTTTTGACAGAACCAATGTACGAGTCATTGTTGAATGGAAACTTCAATAAAGTCACTTTGCTTATTGGTGCTAATTCCGAGGAATATATCTCGAGTGCTGCAGGTAAATTTCAAATCAGACGATTCCTCGCAAACCTCATTTTTATCCCCAAATTCATTATTGCTGCTATGAGAGTAAAGTTTAATTCTTGCCATTCCGGTGGTAAAATAATTGTATCTTTTCTACAGATAAGATGATTTAAATGATAATTGAAGGGATTCTAATGAAAACTAGCAAATGAGACGTACCTATACCCATTCGATAACCGTCCATTCGGCACTATAAAATTGTTTTTCTCCATTCTTCCATTCAATTCCTAAATGTTGTCTCTTCTAATTTCAATTTGATAATTCGTTTGGTTTGCACGTTTGAAAAAATTAATTTTGATGCAATTTGAAAAGCTCATTTGATGCCGTTTGGAATTATTGAGTTTTTGCAGGTTTCTACTTACAACAGCACCTGTAGCATGTGAATAGAAATCTAGCTAGTTTGAATGCTTCCAGACTGCACAGCCACGGTTGCGATGATAGTTTTTCGAAATATGCATCTCTAATGAAAATAACAAAGTTGGTAGTCTTTCCGATGGAAACGGAAATGAAATCACAGTCGAATGTTTGAGTAGTCGATCTTGATACCTTTTCGTAACGTAACACCAACATAAATCTTCCAATAACTGTTGCAGATCCGACAACACTATACAAACGAGCTGAGGGATACCAAAACGATGTATCAAAACTGGTTCCTGCTAGTATGAATTTGAAGAACAAGACAGCCAAATTGTTGGTTGGTGGGGAAATCAAAAACATTTATATGGATATCAATGACAGAATGCAAGATAATTTGGGTCTAACTGTGGCTGTGAGATGAAACTACTTGAACCAAATTCACAACTTGTAAAAGATTTTTTTTTTAGTTTCTAAGCGAGAGTCACTTCTTCAATCCCTGTGTTAGACATGCTCAACTCCAATCCAAATACACAGATGTTTACTTCTACCAATTTTCGTATAATGGGCCATTAGGGAGAAATTATAACATTACTTTACCAGGTCAGACAAACATATTTGAAACATTCACTATTATTAGGTGATTTCGACTAGATCCATTACCGTCATCAGCTTTATTTTATCAACCAGCATTTCTTTTATCTCATAAGGTGCTGAAATGTGTAATCACGGAGAGGAATTATTCTACATATTCAGAAGAACACTAAATGGATACGACAATTCGAATTTAAGCCAATATCCTGCAGAAGATGTTCTGACATTGAGACGAATGACAAAACTCTGGACAAACTTTGCTAAATATTTGTGAGTATTAATCATCACATAAGTAAGTAAAACTTGGAGGAAGGAGTAGAAGATTGATTTCTCTAAATTTTTTGGGATTTTCTCTCATTTCTATTAATAAAAATCTGAGTATAATTTCAAAATATGTCTTATATGGACGAATCAGTTGACAATTTGCCAGAAATAACATTTTCCAGTTTTATGTTGAAAATGGGAGTATATTCCTTCCCAAAACGGCCAATGCTATGTGTAACTCGATATTTCTTCGATTTATCTATATTCCTCTTCTTCAAACATTTTTTAAAACAAAGTGTCACTGACAAAATCGATTGAATTTTACTTCTAGGCTCTCTTATAGTGATAATCTTTGGTAGAAGTCCATAGTTTCTCAAAGTGGAGAGAAGTAGTCACTACTAAATAATAATAGAAGTCATCTCCCTGGAATTTAATATGATCAACAGATCAAATTACTACAAAAATTTACAATTGTCTCCTAGAATGAGAGTGGATGACTACAAAAACTGGATTAATAATAAAGTGCTCACATGGGGAAGAAAAAAGGGAAGAAAAAAAAGTTACATCTTGAAATCTTAATGAAAATTGATGGGTTTCATTGAATTTTTGGGAAACCCAACAAACCCCAAAGTGGTACAAATGTATTAGGGTGGGTAACTAAAGACCATCACTGGGCACACATCGGCGAAAGCACATTATAAAAAACCGTGGAGTTCATCTTGCTCAGTAGGTACACGACGGAAGTCAGCTTACTAGGCCGGAAAGAACACGGACAAGTGTCACACGCCACAAGTCAATACAAAAGACAAGTGACATGAAACATCCTGACAGTGACTAATAGCACCCGCAAGGTCGAGCCCGTCGAACACATAACAAAACAAAACATAGAAGAGCTGATATTTTGAGATTAAGAAACAAGAAATTATATTTAATAGAAATAACTCGAAAAGTTGAAAATGATTTCTCTCATATGATCAATATAATTTGCAAACGCAATGACATTTTGGGGAAAATCATCTGATTTGTCCTTACTACACATAAGTGTGTCTCACTCCTAATGGAAGTACCCCTGTATCTTTTGTAATAATTGTTCAGTAAGAATTCTGAAATTTGCAGAAGCGAGTTATACCAGAAATATTCTCTATGACCAAGTGATAATCACTGCTCGAAAACCGCCATGGAACCACCCACATTTCCGGAAAATGATATAAGGAGGCAAGATAAGTTGAAAATTACTTCGGATTCGAAATCAGTACGTCCAATTCACTAATAATCATTATATCTTTTGGAAAATTTTCAGTTATGAAAAATTAAATTTTGTCACACTTTTCATGGAAGCGTACGTAATCATTGAGGTAAGATTCTGAAATTTGCAGGAGAAAGAGCCCAAAGATACAGTCAACGACGTAAGATACACATGGTTACTTCCATGGAAAGTGAGATAAAATTTAATTCATCAGGACTGGAAATTTTCCAGGAAATATATGAATAATTAGTGAATTGAGCACCCTAATTTAGAAACCGAGGTGATATTCAACCTATCTTGCCTCCTAATATCATTTTCCGGAAATGTGGGTTGTTCTTAGTCATAGTGTGTGTGTGTTTATTTTGTATATCTCCCTCTCCTGAAAATTTCAGAATCCTAATAACTCAACAATTACGTAAGATATATGGGCATTTCCATTATAAGTAGGACACACTGTATATTGAAATGATACTCATATTTCATTTCATATGAACGAGAAGAAAATCCAAAAAAATCTAGAGAAAGAAGTAAAACTTGTCTTCAATATATTTGTTTTTTCTGTGAGAAGAAAAAAGTTTGGCATTTCATCTTTGTTGGTAGGTTATAAAATGTCACTTTTCATAAATTACTTTTTTCCCGTGGGAAGAGTGAGTACTTTTTTCCCGGATATATATCACATATATATACACTGTTGATGGCTTTTGTTGTGCTATAGTTCCGAAAAATGAGTCAATATACCGTCTCCGAGAAACTGCAAGTCCTTTTATCTTCCATTCGACTTCGCGGTTACGTATATTACTAAACAACCACTAAATTCGCAATTTTTTGAAATCAAATCACAGAATTAGACTGACAGAAGTGACATCAGATATTTGATTACTTCAAAAGAATGATAAAGATGCCTACAACGCAAGTGTCCCTATATACTGTTAAAAACTCAAAATTTCACGTCGATAATTTTCAGATTTCAAAATCATGTAATATCTTCTCTCATTGATTCGTTATTTCTTCTGTCACAGAAAAAAATAGTGTATTATACACGGGAAAAATATTAGATTTTAGCTCCAGGTTGTGTTGTCTCCCGACGCGTAGCGTACTTTTTTCCCTTGTATAATAAATAGTTATTTATTATACAAGGGAAAAAAGTAGTAGATTTTAGGTCCAGGTTGTGTTGTCTCCCGACGCGTAGCGGAGGGAGACAAAAAACCGTGAGCTAAAATCTAATTTTTTCCCGTGTATAATACACTATTTTTTTCTGTGACAGAAGGAAGGACGAATCAATATTGGGAAGATATTACATTATTTCGAAATCTGAAAATTATCGACGTGAAATTTCAAGTTTTTAACAGTAGGGACACCTGCGTTTTATAGACATCTTTATCATTCTTTTGAAGTAATCAAATATCTGATGTCACTTCTGTCAGTTCAATTCTGTGATTTGATTTTAAAAAATTGCGAATTCAGTAGTTGTTTAGTAATATACGAAACCGCGAAGTCGAATGGAAGATGAAAGGACTTCAGTTCTTTCTCGGAGACGGTATTATTGACTTATTTTTCGGAACTATAGCACAACAAAAGCCATTAACAGAGTATATATATGTGATATATATCCGGGAAAGAAGTACTCACTTTTTTCCCACGGGAAAAAAGTAATTTATGAAAAGTGACATTTTATAACCTGCCAACAGAGATGAAATGCCAAACTTTTTTCCTGTCACAGAAAAATAACTATTTTTTCTTCAGGAATCCCACACCAATAGGAGATCCATTGTTACAAAATATAACCTGGCCCAAAATGGAACCAGATAATATCAACTTCGTTGACGTAAGAAGGGACTTGAAGATCGAAACGGAATTGAAAAAAGGGAGATATTTGAAGTGGAGAGAACTATTTGATACGTATGCTATACCTCCTCTAGTAACATTCTAGAGGAATTCATAAGTATTGATGCACTATGTCTATTTTGTTGAAATAATATAACTTATGATTTTATTTGCATTTTTTTATTGTTCCAGATGTGTGAAAACATATTGTATACAGTCAGTATAGTGGAACGAAAACACACGATTTTATACTTGATATAATATTTCATTAACATGAATAGACTTAATACAATGAAACATACTAAATAACTATGAAAATAAATCAAATTTATGAATAAATATTACTATTAGTTGAGGAATGTCAATTAATTTGTGACTATACGGAATAATATAAAATTATGAAATATAAAAATTTGATCAAGTGATACTCCCTGTTGATTACAAGGAGAATTGAAACCATCCAACACGGCTATTGAATGTACCCAATGCTCAAAATGTACCGAAACGCACCGGAATGCCATACGCCATACCGGTCCGTGAAAAAAATCTTGAGATTCGTGAACGATGTGCCCCAGAGCAGTTTATATGAACTCGTATTCTAATAACGTTTTCACATCATTGCACTGATTCAAACCCAATGATTATACGACTACAGAAGGATAGTTCATCCGAGCCGTTTTGTCGGCGGAGGGCGTTGCCTCGATGACGTAGGCAACGGACCTGAATTCAAAAATGTCAATTGCAAATCATAGTAAACGCAAACGGCCGTGTAGGCGAATGAATTACTGATTTATTTCTAGCAGATATTTCAAATGAACTCATTAAGGAATTAAGTAATACGTCTAACGACCAAACTAAGATTTGGAGACTAAATTGAAAGTAATTCAAAGCATTTGCTTTGAATTACTAAAATTCAAATCGTGTCGAGACTATGAGTGAAATCGAATTCAATCAAGAGTATCGTTCTTGTAGTAAACAAGTTAAGTTATCTAAATTTCATATTCAAACCCCTTTCTTTCTATTGGCGTAGAAGTTTTAGATGTTTATTTACTGAAAAAATCAAGTTCTATACCCATGGAATAATATTCGTCATAATCATGAAATGGGTTTTATTGCCCAATGAAGCTATGCCAACTTACCAAATTTGAGGAAAATCTCTTGGCCGTTTTAGAGTTCTGTTATGAAGCAAAAACTATTTAGAAATTGTAACTTCAGAGCCGTCTAGCGTCCGAACTAAACAACTTTGTCCTGAGGTAAGTTTGCTTTGCTATGTATATATGTGGTAGGTTTTTGTAAAGACCTTTTAGGGATACCCTGTATAACTAACACTTTTTGCATAGACAATATCTCAGAAAATTGACTTTTTAATTGATGCAGCTCCTGCTCCTGCTGTTACAGATTTTCGAGAAGCCTAACTTTCAATTTGAAGGCATTTGACCTTGAACAAGATCATGTTACCCTAGCTGTTGGCAAAAAATGTGTGCCCTATTTCATAGATGAGTTCATTTTGAGCATTGAATATTGCGGTGTTTTCTATCAAATGATACAAGCCTTGATAATCATTGTGGTATGAAAAAGACGAGAGTTGAATCGCTCCGGACTTCATCTGGGGAGAGAGAAATGGGAGGTACGGAAATATTCCTCTTTAGTTCTTTCCCATTTAATTTTTTTTTTAAGTCCGTCCTGTGGAGTCCGAATCATGTAAAGGAGTTTGTAGCCTGGTCCACTAATAGCATAGCGTCAGCCCACTGCATTCATTGACATACTAATCTAGGCTTCCAAGTTTTCTTGTGAGGCAATGCACATGTAATCGAAATCATCGTGACCAATAAGGACTTGTCAAATGATATTTCCATCTCTCTCTACTCTCTTTCTCCAACGAAGTTCAGGGCGATTCAATTCTTCCGTGACAAAGTATTTCTGATCCCAAAAATATTTTCCATCGAAGAATGTTAGATGGATGGAAGAAATGAAACTTCGATCAAAGTGATGATATTTGTTGATTTCGAACATTTTCAGATTTCAGCTCAAATTTGAATTACCTTCAAGTTTTATTTATTCGTATAGATTCACCAGAATTCTTCGATGGAATATGTGAGAAGTACTTATTTATGAAATCTAGAAAACTAACTCCTTCAAGATATTATGCAGTAAACACTCTGATCCATTCAAAAGACAACATTTCTTCTCTCCCTTTATTTACGTGATAAGAGAAGTTGGGCTTTGCTTGAAAGAGAGAGAGAGAGCAACATACCATCCTAGTGAATGTTTTCCTCATTTTCTAATATATTGATCCAATGGTTTCAGATTCGATTCGTGCCCCAGGTTCAAATAGCAGGACTTTGCTTATTCACAAACATAGGTCGTGGATTTTGTTGACCTGCCTGTATGGCATGAAGGCAAAAATCAGTATGTAATGTGTCTGGCAAAGTGCCAACAATTCAGAATGATATTCCAAATGGTCATTGAGTAATCTGAACTGGTTTTATTTCTCGAAGGCTCTCTCATATTTTCGAAGAAATTTTTGAAAATTTTCATTTTCATGTGTTTTGCATCAAAATTACACAAACATATAACCTTCAACACTGGGAATCCAATAATGCTGGAGATTGATTCACTCTCAGGTACTTAGTGACTGCTATTTTGAACTTGAGGTTTTGTCGTATGGGTTTCAGAGTGGAAATGGAATTCCATAGTTTCACATAACTCAGTGACTGATCATTCTCTAATGTTATGATGAGTACCTGTATACTTTTCAGAGTTGGATCACTTCAGATATTCAGTCTTCAGATGTTGTGGGAATGGGAAACCAGAATTGTTGGTGTGACTGATAAAAGTATGTTAAATCCGCCATGTAACACACATACTTTTTTGACATTACATTTCAGCAAAAATGTTGGGAACTGAAAATTGTGAAAATTATGCTATTAATAATTGATTATTAATTTTCACCCACTGACACCATCAATCCAAATTAATTCAAAATCGGCCCTTAACTACATACGCCATGGAAACAGAACGATTCCAATTCTAATTTCAATGTTATTGGGATATTGGCTCAAACCAATTTGATGGCAGATGTGTGTAGGAAATGGAATAATATTGATGATTGTATATTTTCATGCAGATTTGTACTAGTAACCCTTAGTGGTAGAAAATGTTTTCAGCGAAAAAATTAGGTACCTACTGGTGTTTATGTCTGCGCTGAATATGGCTGTGATCCACATGAAAATACATGATTATCAAGATTTAACATGAAGGAATAACAAAATTTAATCATAAAATAAAGTATTCTTACCAACTCCATATCAGTTTCTTCATCTCCAATTACAACAACTACCTTGTTATTAGTTTCCTTCAACAACTGACTATGTTGTCCAATATTTTCAATATTATTATCAGAAAAAGATACACTTGAGAATGGTATATTGATACTGCCGATGACACTGCATCTATTATATCTAAAAATGATGTGTGGATCTCAAAACAAAGTCCTGAGAACAAAATATGAAGAAACCTACTGAGTCATATTCCGTATATCTACCATACACATTTTTTCGGGGTTACTGCGAACCAAGCTGACAATGTCATTGGCACTTATTCGAGGATACCTTTCTCTTTTCAAGTCTTCCAAGGTTACTCCTGAAATATCCTAAAATGGAAGGTTAGGTTTAGCACACTTGATTTTATTAAATTTATGTGAAAATTGTAGGTTTACGATTTTTTGCATTTTCTAGTAGGAGATTCTGAATGCCCATAAAAATTACTTCATTTTTGCCCATTTGAATGTTTCTGATGGTTTCTGTGAGACCAATGTTGACTAAGAAAGCTATTGAGTAAAATATGAACAATCACCCTGTACAGTCAAATTGCATGTGAACTATTAGGTTCTCGTATATTCTCACGATGTTTTCAATAACTAGAATAATTTAAGGAGTCATACTCCAATCAGTGCACCTGTTTGAATTGAATATCTCTTCTGATTGAAGAAAATCGAAAAAATGACATTTGAGTACGTCTACAGAAGTTTTCAGCTTTTTATTTTGTATTATACAGGGTGTTTCAGAGTTGTGGTGGCAAAATATGACAAAAAATTCATGTGAACATGGGCCCGAAAATGCTTCGTTTCTGAGATATAGGGTGACAAAGTGAAAAAAATTATCTTGGAAAACTATTTTGCACAAAATTTGAAGATCGTAAACATTTTAGGGAGGGTATTGACTTTTATCCAGTTTTTGTTTTCATAAATGATAACGTGCAATTCATTTTTGGATAATATCTAATCATTTTTATTTTTCCTTATGGAGTTCAGAGATATGCCGAGGTATGGTATTGTCCGTTTTTCTCGAATACGAAGAGAGATACAAAAAAATAGAAAGAGAAAGAAATGTTGTATTTGCTGTGGGTTCAACTGAATATTTAAGAAGAACCCGAAAAATTAACACAGGGTTACTTTTTTTACAAAAAAAAATCTGATTTGCTGGATTGGTACGCCCCTGGAAATTCTGGATCGAACCTAATTAGCCCAGTAAATGTCTGATAATTGTGTCAATGAACCATAAAAATTTCATTAGAATCGGCCTTAAACTTTTTCAAGACATTGATATAAAACTTTTTTTTTAACCTGGACTCCCTGTATCTTGGAAACAACGCATTTTCGGACCCTTGTTCATCTGAACTTTTTTTCATATTTTGTTGAGTGGAATCTCCCCTAGGCTTTTGTCACCACAACTCTGAAACACCCTGTATAGAGTAAGCTGGAGACTCTGACAAGTAGACATAACCACAAAAAAGCGAGAACTGACTGTACATGAACGTACATGACATAAAATTCAAAGAATCGCCAAAAGTATATGAAAATAATAAGAATGATTGTACAGTTAAGAACTGTAGAAATGCTAACAATCGATTCAGTGTATTTTAATTCGTCATTGAATTAATTGATATTGCAGAAATGGAAACGGAACAAAGTGCAAAATATTCAAATCGTTGAGTAGTGAATGGTGAATATTCATTGTATATCACTCATCCTAAAAAATGTCATGCCATTTCAGTATCAAAAACCCATTGTGAGCATTTTTCCATAAATGAATAATAATTGTTCGATAATCCTTATATTTACATGGATGAAAGACTGGAAAAGATATACAGAGTGTAACATAAGTACGTTGAAATATACAAGTGACGGCTTCCTGAGACAATTTTTAGAAAAAAAGTCTATATAAACTTGTGTCCGGAAATGCTTCCTTTCGGATATACAGGGTGATGACATCAATTTATTTTGTTCGCTTGTCAGAGATAACTTCTGCAAACAATAAGTTATCTGCACGAACATTCTTGACAGTAAACTTTTGGTACTTTTAATGAAAAAACTTTATTCCCACACTTCATTCGAGTAAAAAGGTACACTTTCTCAATAACGCTGGAGGTGATCGTTTCCGAGATATTTACAGTTTACTATATCGATGCATGTTACTTAGCTCCTAGGGTGTTAAGTGAAGTTGCTGAGAACATTACAAAAACTAAGTATGTGATAGGTCTCGTCAAAATTAACTAGTTTACCTATGAAATGTTTATCGAAAAATGATTTGATTTCGAGATGCAGATGGTTGAAATTTTCCAAAACATGGTTGGTTTTCGTCATAAGTTAGATGCAACCTGCAGTTACAATTACAACATCTGTTCAAAGTGACGACCCCCAAATACAAGCTTCTGCATTTTTCAACGGGTGCGGAATTCTTTGATAAGGAGAGCAGAATAAGCTTGTATTACTGTTGGGGGTCATCACTTAGAAACGGCGTGGAAAACAGTTTTTCTCATGAAAAGTACCAAAGGTTTACTGCCAAAAATGTTAGAGCAATTTGAAATAAATAATGACAGCGTACGCAGCGCCCTCTAGATATCACGTGGAAATTCATGAGAAATTATGATTTCCCACGTCAAAAAGACTCCGGGTATCAAATTTCGTGCGAATACCTTATTTTTTGCAAAAGTTATCTCCGAAAAGCGAACAGAAAATTTCAATTTCAACACCCTGTATCTCCGAAACGAAGCATTCCCGGACACAAGTTTATATAGACTTTCGTTCTTTAAATTGTCTCAGGGATACGTCACTTGAATATTTCAACGTACTTATGTTACACCTTCTCTGAACAGAAAGATATTGAAAGCCTTCATCTAAGCAATAAAAGAATCTGCATGTTCTCTTATCTGGCAAAACACATGACATGCTTTGAAAACGTTTCTATAACTGTCACTCCTTGTTGAGAGAATGTAATCTAATATGAAGAAGCCACCAAATAACTTGATTTTTTTAATACTCACATATTTGTCTCTTTCTTGAAATTCACAATTTTCATGTTCCCTTGCTGTTATACTTGTAGGTGTTGTTTTAAACGTATCAGTTGAAAGATATACACTCTTCTCGATATCAACTTCCGGTAAATCGGAGAACAATAGAATGCATTCATTGAAGCCTGCATTCAATAATCTATCCCTTAGTTGTGTCAAGACGGACAAGCCGATATGCAGAGAATAAGATGAATTTCCTAATAGCACCTTATCCCAGAGATGCAGAATTTTGTAAAGGGGAAATACATCTGAAATGTATGTAGAACGTAACTTTCATGCTTGATAACGAATACTTGAGGTTATTGTCCCTAATAAATTCTGCCATAATAACCGGTAGATTTTCGAAAAATAAACCAGACCAAGAGTCAACTTTTAGATCTCAAGTTTTGACAGCAGCATATATCGCCACAAAAGGAATGCCATTTATAACTTCTGAGATAACAGTTTGAAATTTTGTTAGATTTGAATACCTCCTCACATTAACTATTTGTTGATGATATTATGTTTATTGAGTCACTTCTTATTCCTTCCAGGACAAAGAACAAAAAAGGATCTCCCAAAAGTTTTTCACCTAAACTGCAATATGCAGTAAAATCAGTAAATGAATGGAAATGTATCATTTCTTACGTGAAAACAATGTTAGGAACCATGGAATAGCGAATAACTGTGGGTAGAAATTTATCTCATACAAATGATTTGCCAACACTGGATCATGGAAAGCGATAAGTTGTGAAAACTTCGCCAAATATTCCTCTATCACAGCTGAGTTATCTTTCAGAAAAAACTTGTGAAGATATTTCGGGATGAACGCAGATAAACAAGCAAATGCTTTAGCTGAAAAAGAAAGTCGAGTTAAAACTTGACTATTTTTCTCTACTCATACTTTCACTTACCCTCATCATTGAAATTGAGATATAAAAATGGTGCTGTCAGGGAGTCAAGACCTTGCCAATACACGTAATTCGAGTTTTTGCACACCCAAGCTTTTAGTATTCTTTTCAATTTTTGATGACCATCTGTGGAAGACAACAATTCATTATATTGATGACACCTAGGAATATCAACTTCAATCTGAAAATATTGAAACACTCATTCAATGGTCCTTCAGATTATTTAGTTGAAAAACATGAAAGTTTCTTTCTTACTTGTCTATCAGTAGGAGTTATCGAGTATTTGTCAATTTTCATATAGTGGGATTTGTAATCTCCTTTGACATGCAGTAATGCGGCCCATATTTCACCGCGTAGCAATGGTGGAATATCTTTTTCTGCCTCTCTGACAATAAGTTCTCTAGTGAAAGGATAACCCTAGAATTGTAAACAAATATTGTGGGTTTATAAATTACATGTAAGATGACCTTGCATTGGCTCATTATGTATAATTCTTTCAAGTTCAAAACCTCGTTCAAAACGATAGAGCGTAGCATGATTCCAGCTAAAGTATATTTATTATTCTCAATGGAACACCCTGTATTCTCTAACATGTGTTAATTCCTCTCATGATTTTGATTAAAATTCATGTATCATATCCTATTGTCACCAAAATGAACCGTTTTTCAGTTATTAGTATGTTTCTAGTAAAAGTGACAAATGCAGCTAATCGAAAACACTCCATTATAATGTGGATTGAAATTTTTAGTGATACCTATGCAGATTAAATCATGTATATTGGAGGTTGGACGGATAACTCACCATAATCAGCCTCTGGATGTTGGCGTTTACAAATCGGCTAAAGCGTCTTGGAGAAAAATACTTCGAGATTTCTATCAAGAATCGGGTTATAAAAATGTTGATAAAATTATATTCCCTTCTTTAATGAAAAAATTGGCCAACACCAAGTTTGTCCAGAAGTAATGTGGTAGGTAACTTTGATGGGTTGAGCATTTACCGTTTGTGTTTAGAAAAAATGGAAAAAAATCTCAGATGGCACACATTGTTAACAGTGAGGATTCTGCTCAGATGCCATCCACATCTTCTGGGGACTCAATGGAATAGCAATCTAGAAAAAATCCAAACCCAAAGCAACCATTGGCAAACAAAAAAAGAAAAGAAAGGCACAAGAATCACAAGAACCTAGCTCTAGTTCGTCAGAAAGTGAGGTAATTTATGATGATAACAGTGACAATGAGCCGGAAGATTTTGAAGATTCGATTCGTGTGTATTACTATACATACAGTACGCCTGTCTCAGGAAATTATTAGATTTAAAAAAAAATCAGATCTAATGGAAAAGAAATCATGGAGATATGTCAATGTTTGCCCGTTTTACCTTAGGGTGTTCCATTTGATGAATTATTGTGGATTATCAACGGCCACATGAATAAAAAAAACGCTTCGCTCGTCGTACTCCAAACAACGCGTGAGACAAAATAATGTCTTGTAAAACTTGTATATACTATTACATCCCCCTAAGCTGGAGATATAATAAAAATATATCTATTCACGAGTCTATTCAATAGGGAACAACTTTGTGATAGTTTAGAATAGAAATAACTCACATGCAAAAGTCTTCTGAGCAAAATAACTCTATGAAACTGATACTCCGGATCTCTTTCTTTGATAATTAGTGGCAATCCTGTAGCATCGTATGGAGGTGGTTCCAAACGAGATATGATATCAGATTTTATTTGTATCAGGGGATAGAATGCCGTAAACGGGATGTTTTCGAACCTTTGGTAGAGAGAAGCCAGCGGCATTTCAACTATTCGCGGGTCAAATAATGTGGCTGGATTCCTGTCCTGGCCCAATAAACCACCCTCGATCAAAACTAACCTTAAAACATAAGATTCAATCACCCATCTTGTATTTTTATCACTGGTAAGTATCATTAACAAAGATCAAAATTATAATATTATCAGAAATGCGTTATGAAAAGGAATCAGCAAGTAATTGAATGAATTACTAGTGAAAACACAGCCCTGAAAAATCAATTAATAGTTATTTAACCAACTAGTGTATTAATGAGGGCGATAAATGATCGAGATGTTTTAACGTGCGAGCGAAGCGAGCGCGTTAATGTTGGAGATCATTAATCGCCTTTTAATATACGAGTTGGTTACAAAATTTTTCCGTCGACTAAATTTCTCATTTCTCCTGCAATGAAGAAAACTTGGTTCGCGAATTCACCATTCATCCGGAAACTACTAAGAATCACCCAGTAGCCTTGTTACTGACATTAGTGACATTTGACATTTGTCGAAATGATCAACATAGAAAATAAATTCCTTGTGTTAGAAAACAGGGATTAAAATCGTTTCAGAAACTTGGAAAGGCGAACCCGTTCACGGAAATTCTTCGATGAAATCCATATTTTCGATTTGATTGATTGAATTCACGCGGTGTATGTTTGGTTGCCTATAAAACAATCGTGCATTAATAGACAAATTAATCATTAATAGGGGTCATAAATGAACGATTTCATAAACATTAAATTTACTCGTTAATACGAGGTCGACGGAAACATCTATTTACTCCTTGGATTCAGATGATGTTGATATTACACACAATCATAACTGTCAAATTTGGTATTTATAAAAATCACAGCACTTATTAATTCCATGGGATTTCATCATTTTCCTGGGCTCTAGGAATGTATGAGAAATATGGAAATATTTCTTTGAATTTATTCATCAGTGTCATGAATAAACTACATTGACTTACTGGGGAAGGGACAATATAGGTGGACTAGATCTGATGAGTCCTTGCTTTTTAAGCTCCTGAAAAATATCTCCTCCAGCCAGTTGCCACCAGTGATAAAATTCGTGTATTGTGAATATTTCAAAAGGTTCACATAAACTTTTCTTTTCTGATATTTTGTCAGTTTTTTGTTGGTTGAACACACCTTTCTGGAGTAGCTCTCCGCAAGTTGGTCGTTGATCTACGTTAATATTCAGGCAAATTTCTATAATTTCTTTGATATCTTCTGGTACCTTCTAAAAAATAATTATTAAATCTACCAATTATTTCACTAGATTATTTGGTGCTAAGCTCCAAAACCCATTTTTATTCATCTCAATATACAGGGTGTCCCAGAAGAGGTGGGCAATCTCCAAGATGTGAGTATTGATTACAACAAAATAATTGGGGGGTTTTATATCAAATTCATAAGAAAAAACGCACCTGCACTGCCGAACGAGAGAAGCAGGACTGCTTTTTCAAGAATATTCTCATCATTCAAATGGAATTTTATGAAATTTTTTACATCAGCTGAACTTTTCATGTCCAAGTGAGAAAATTCTCAAAATTTGATAAATGGACATATCAATGATGGAAGTAAGATATGGTGTATCTTCTAATAGTTGGCGACATTGCACAATTATGACATCTGTCAGTTTCGAAATTGTCGCAGATTTTTCGAATTCAGAGTTGAATAATCCCACTGTTACATATGTTCCGCGTACCTAAAATGCCATTTGACATTTTATTTCCACTCGTCACAGCAGCAGTAGCAGCATCACCATCTAGCGGGAAAATGTAGAATCAACGTCTCGCTTGTTGTGACGTAGAGAAATCATAGTAGGCGGTCGAGTGGTTTTTCTGAAATTTTCAATACGTAATAATGGCCGAATACGCGCACCATATTTTACTTCCATCATTGACATATCCATCAAAGAAAGAAGAGTTGGTATTTTATTTGAAAAAAATGATTCACGAATGTTTGAAATTTGTTTAGATTAAATGGTTATTCCTAACATACTGCATAATATGTTTTTTCAGGAAAAGGTCAAAGTTTTGTGATGAAATGTGGTATATTCACTATTGATACATCTGAAGATTTTCACGAACTCTCAAAAGTACAGGTAGTATAGGTACCTACTCTATAGTACATCTATTTCCAGAGATGTCTGTATGGTCACTTGGCAACGCGTGACTTTTTTCAAAAACGAAAAAACAATTTTATTGAGTCGAATGTGACGTTAATTCTGAAAATATCTGAGATATTCAATAGACCTGTTGGTCTAGGGACACCCTCTATTCATATTAGTTTGTAGTTGGCATCAAATAATCAAAATGTATTTGACCTTTATTCAGTTTTTGAATTTGAATCTTCAAGCAATGAGAGTGGAAAAATAATAGTTCTTCATTATGTTGACGTCAATTATTTCTGAAATATCAATTCCCTTCGAATGAGCTTATTTTATACTAATGGTTCACTAATCATAATGAAGCTCAATACAAACCATGTAGTCTTCATAACAGTTATGTTCTCGAGCAATTCTTTCAAAAACGGATGTGTTGGACTGCAACAGGCTCAACACCTTCCTTATTCTATGTCCCAATTTCAATGTGCTCCAAAACCTTTTATGCAAAACAAGTTCTGCTAAAATCATTCCTACTGCCCAAATGTCGACTTTTGGATTCGTATGATTGTGTTGGATGCCATCCAGGTATATTTCTGGAGCAGCATACAACAATTGACTAAAAAAAAGCTTGATGATTTCAGAAGATGAATTATTAATCTCATGGTATATGAGATATTGGAACTTTTATACAAAACAATCGAATTTCTATCTCATATTATTATTATTTTATAATCCAATCCAAGCAGATAAGGAGATTTAATGTTAATTCGTATTTTCAATCATTATTACTGAATAGTAGTTGTGATAATCTCAGAATGCATATCTTCGATAGCAGTTACTTGTGGTATAAAATAGTTATTTTTGTATCTAGAGCGCGAAATGCTACTTTGGTGATCGAGATCTGATTTTTTCAACGAGGCGTAGCCGAGTTCATAAAATAGTCGAGATGACCAAAGTATTTCGCGCTCGAGTTGCAAACAACATTTTTTCTAAAAACGTCAAAAAATAAAGTTCTCAAGTAAAAATATGCTTAGCTTGATATAAAAAATAGTGTTGAACTGGCTTAAAAGGCCTTCCCCTATCCTCCCTAGGTTCGCACGATGTTCCACGAACATAATAGGAATTTCCTTTCGTGCGCTCCAAGAGATAAAACAAAGTTATCGTTCAAAATTCAGAAATGAATGATTTCATGGATGTTTGCTCGATTGAGGACCATGAAGTTAAAATATGAATATCTCTTGGCTTTTTCCTAGTTGTTTTAAGATTTGTTACGAGGGTACCGAGGGGAAATTTTTGGTTCACAAAATATTTCACCCTATAGAGTATATTCAGCAGGTCTAGAATAATCCATTTCCATCAAAATGCCTTGGGAAAAGGGTGTTTCAACTGAATTTATTATTTCTACACTCCGGAGGGTTGTAAGGGGTAGTTTCACAAATAATTTCATTGTAAAAGAGGGCGTGTAACTAGTGTAAAATTATTTATTCACATAATAAAATCGCGATCAAGAGATTTCCCAACTGTTCTCATGATTTTTCTGTTTAGTGGGGTAGATATGAGGTGATTTAGGAATCACAAATTATTTTACTGTTAGGAGCGTTTTTCAACTCCTTCAGATTAGTGGACTAGCATAAAAAGCATAAAAAAGCAAAAATAAGCAAAGTTAAAAAACCATTGCCAGAAAAACAGTTCCTGCTTTCACACCCGGTATAAGACGTGTTTTATCAAAAATAATATATTTTCCGTTGAAAAATTTAAAAGAAATTGAAATATTATGATAATATACTCTTAGAGAACTTCTGTAATTCAGTAGTTTTTTTGTAGTTATCATACACAGGACGTTGTTTATATAAGATTTTGTTTTAATTAGTATCACAAAAAAATAATGTTTCCAGAATTTGTATTATTATTATCAAACAATTGAAGTTCAATAATAACAACTAGCAGCATCCCTCAGAGGATATATTTTCAAACATTTTGTTCCTCAAAATGTGAAAATAAATAGTATTCTCTTGTGAAAACAATATCGTGTATAATTAATTTATAATTTAAAAAAAAAACGTCTTGAATATACCGGGGGGCACTGACTCATAGAAAACCTCCCTTTTCCCCTTTGTTTTTCTAGCTATATTTCTGAAATTTGAAACATCGAATATGCTCACTAGAGGGCACTTTCTCATATTTCAGGAAATTTTTTTCATCTTCCGGTTTTCCTGGAAATGACATTATTATAACGAATTCAACAATACCGGGTTTGATTGGGTTATTTTGAAGGATCACGAAGATATTCGCGTTCAAAGTTTCCATAAGCTCAATGAGTGTGACAGAGATAGAAGTTTCAATATTGCGCCGTCACACCCATTGAGGTTATGGAAACTTTGGACGTGAAAATCCTCATAATTGTTTGAAATAACCCAATCAAATCCGGTATTTTTGAATTCGTTATGAGAATCTCTAACCGAATATGGAATAAAATACAGGGTGTTCCATTTAAATATCGAAAGTTGATGTCATTTCCAGGTAAACTGAAACATGAAAAAAAATTCCTGAAATGTGAGAAAATGTCCTCCAGTGATCATTTTTGATGTTCCAAATTTCAGAAATATAGCTAGAAGCCCAAAGCAGAAAAGGGGGGTATACCATGACCCATGAGTCTATGTCTCTGGGTATGTAAAATCATCTAGCAGATTTGAAACTTATGTGTTTCAGAAGATTTGCAACATGCTGATGATATCAGCTTCTTGATAAAAAAAATGTCTGATAGGTACCAAATCGGGTACTACCAACTGTTTTTTTCGAGTTTTTTTTTAGCTTTCAATCAATTAAACTGGACCTGTAAAATTGCAATGAGAGAATTGAGAGCTCAAGATTCATAGGCGTATCCAGGGGGGGGGCTGCCGAGCTGCAGCCCCCCCCCCCTCCAACACGGCAAGTCTTATGAGGATAATTTATAATTTTTACATATTATAACCACTTCTGACGTACGACAATATTCATCACTTCTCTATAACCTACGTAATGAACAAATTAACAGAACATTATTCGAAAATATTAATTTTATATATATATAAGTGCGTATTGGCAACAGCGCCAGAATCGCTGCGACAGTCGGGACGCATCGTGACTCGCGTGAAGAAACTTGCGAAGGCGCAGGAAGGGCTGATGCTGCTAAACATATCTACATTACGATTTTAGTAGGCGTAGGTATTTGCCTCTTCCAAGTGTAATAAGGTAAACAGGATTCCTCCATCTCACAAACAAAAAGCGAATAAGTGCAAACTCGCACCCCTATGCAAAAATTTTTGCCGTCTCGACGGCCGACAAAAGAGAATACCCGCGTAACGTTTTGGTATGTTTAGGATGAATTACGGACATAAATTGGGCGTGGCTCCGAAAAATGTTTTTAACCTGCGGCGCTTTTCTTTGGTCACCACTTTTTCTTAACACAGCCCCCCCCCAAACCAAAATCCTGTATATGCCAATGTCAAGAATTGAGTACTAAATGTTCAGCCTAAAAAATTTTGAAATCGGTCAACAAATAGGAAAATATAAGGGTGGTGCACAGTAGAACTGCAGATTTCTAGGGTACAAATATCACAATTTGGCTTCATCCCAGTTGTAAAGTTTATTATAACCAAATTATAGGCAGTCTTTCTAAGTGAATATTTTATTTAGATTTCTTAAATCTCATTTTTGAATCAATATTGTTACATGGGATTTTTTTGACTATGGGTTTTCTGGGCAAGAAATTCAAGAAGAAATTATAATTCATTGATAATTTTTGTATAGATTGTAGAGGTTGCTCTCTGTGGGTAGAGAAAAACAAGTGCAGTTTTATCAATTTTTTGCTCCTTAGTGTATTCATGTTTTTACTCATGTATTTTTATATTAGTTTTTCCATCATTTCTTGGTAAAAAAGGTCTAGATATATACCTTGCAATGTCCCTTATTAAGCTGTGAATGTGAAATCCTGCAAAGTAGACTCTCATGAAAACAAATGCAATGAAAGCACTTTCAAACTTGATTTCTGTCAAACTTTCTCTCAGATAAAATGAAAAGAAAAGAAAAGCTCAACTACTATTCAGTCTTCAGTATCTTTTAGGTCTTTTAGGATATCCTCCACAAACCAAGATACTAACTCAGAAAAATATCCTCCTATGGAGTCAACTAATCTTTATTATATTTCCTTTTCTACTGAAAATGGCAACTCTGTTATAAGATATGTATTAATGACTTTTCTAATATTATCAAAATATCATAGACTGTTGATAAAATAATAGGTAAATATGAAATCCAACATTTCTACTTACATAATGGGAAATGAGACCAGTTTTCCATTATCTGTCAAATGATACAGACCATAATTGAATAATTTTACATTATTATCTTGACACAGAATATTTTCAGTGCTTAGGTTTCTGTGAACAATATTTCTTGTATGGAGCTCATTCAAACCTTGAAGTATTTGGTACACAATGTGTTTGATCTCATCTATACTCTGATCTTGGTTTTCAACTATATTTGACAATGGGGTGCCACAATATTGAGACACAACAATGGTACGCTCTGAAATGTATAAGTTTCCTCCTGAGTTTCTTGATTACCACTCAGATTTTGAAGAAAATCTTACCATGTTTTCCCCTAATGATATCCAGATACTGACACAAATATGGGCTCTTGATAGCTTTCAGCATCTGAGCTCTTCCATATATTATGATCGAATTTGGAGTGAGGGGTAAGCCATTACTACCACACATATCTTCCTTATGTTGTTTTGCAAAGAAAGTGATTGCACCGAAGTGCATCTCTGGATGATTGAGTAAGCCGATAGTCATGATGTCTATCAATACCTACTCATGAACACATCCTAAAAGTTTAAAACACAATCAGTTGTATTGTATCTATTATTTAAAATCAATCTTTCTCTAGCTACTGCAATGGAATAATCTGCAGTATTTAATATATTTCATAACATTATCATTTTTCGTATCCTTCCAATTTGAGATTGAAAATTGAAATTGAACAGGACAAATTGTTGAATTAGTTTTTCCAAAAATAATCAAACAAAACAACTAAACAACATAACCTAACAGTTGAGCAGGTTAGGGCGTACAAGATCTGTCAGATGACCGTGCTGGGGCCGTATTCTCGACGAGTGAACTTTTGATGCGTGTACGCACTTCGATAGTTCCGTACGTTTTGGTATTCTTGACCAGTGACATTTGAGGCATGTACGTTTTCAAGGCGAGCGTTTACAGCGAGCGCATTATTTCACTCGTTTTGTATGTTTTCGTTCGTTTTGTTGACTTGTGACGTCTGTCATTGAATATTTTTATTGTTTATTTATATTGAATATAATTTGGGACTCTAATAATGAATCTTTTTCGAGTTTCATATCATCTGAATAAATAGTAAATGACATCAAAATATAATGGAAGAGAAATTTGTACAGTTGATGTTGATTGACGTAATGGAAGATGTGGAACAAATAGATAGGAAAAGATACAGCAGCGTGGAAATCACTCTAATCATAGATGAAACACACGTTCGATCTATGCTCTAATGCATGATTTGGATATCTCCACAAAAGTTGGCTTTTATTCAAGTGATTTAATAAAAATTTTGTTTTATATATTCAACAAAAGACACTTTTCCAGGGGTAATAAGCTGTCTGACTGCACTCACATATAGCTATTCATCCTCCAAAAGTACATGGCTATGAACATCCTGAAAATATCTATGTGAATAAAAAAAAACTATCATTTAATAAATGTACATTTAATTTGTGACTACCATTTGAAAACTGCTTATGTGAATTTGGTTTCCTGGTAATACAAATGATGCTATCATGTGGAATAGTTCAAATGTCCAAACAATGCTGAGGAGGTTACATGAAGCTGGAAATACTGATTATTATACGTTATCATTTTTTATTATTTATTGCTATATATTTTGGTTTTTCTAATCTAATAAATCTCCATTTACTGGATTATTCTGTGACTATAAAGACTGTGAATGAAGAATAGTATATTATGTACCTATTGATCAAATTATTTATTTCCACTTCATCTGTGAATAACTTTCAGATTGATTTGATTCATTCAACACAGCATTTGCATTACAAAAATATCAAAAATATTTGAATCTTCGCGCGGAATTTTTCACATATTCACAGAACGTGAATCAACGGACCATTTCGTGACTTTCGTGAAATATTACAGTGGTGCCGGATGCTCTGATCGCATCACGATCGCACGTTTTCAAGCGTATACGTTTTGCGAAGCGAATGGTCGTCAAGAATACCACTTCGAAAAAGTGCTCGCACATGAACCATTCGTTTTGATGCGTATACGACAAAAAGATCACTTGTCGAGAATACGGCCCCTGGAGGCACTGGAGGTCACACTCATTCAGGGTTGCCATCTTAGCGTTTTAGTCGCTAAATCTAGTTTTTAACTGGTTTTTAAGTGAGATGTTTATAAATATGCGACGCGTCGGAATTCTAGCGTTTTCAACAAAGTCTTGGCGGTTTACTTATAATATAGAGATATTTTGATTATTGGTGACGACGGATATGAATAATTCACATTGAAACCAAACCTACTATTCTTTGTTGAAAGATTTGAGACGAAGAGATAAGCAGATAAAAGAATAACAGACGACTGGCAGTGTTTTCATCATTTGCGCCACTTCTTCCACTTTTGAATATTAGTTTGTATATTTCGATATGGTTTGAAAAATTGTGATACTTGTGAAGATTTCATTTTGAATAAATCAGTATTGAAACATTTAGGAAAAAAATAGCAATGAAGTTGCAGATCTGTATGATGTTGAACTAGAAATATGAACAACGTGGGAGGTATGAAAGAACTTAGTCACAACTCCACAACATAAACAATTTTATAATGACAAACGGACATGGACAGAAGGTCATGTTTCGAAGGACTAATCCATCATCAGCAAATTTATAAAAAGAAGTAAAATCTGTAAAAAGAGAACAACGCTTGATTACTTAACCACAGTACTTAACTAACCTGAGACAGAATTTTAAACCGCGCATAGTGCGGGTGGGTAGCTGTTAGGGAACAAACATTATAACAGCTCTATAAGAGCCTAGATTTCGAAAATTGTTTGATTTAAAGAAAATATTCGAAAGCACCAATTGGAACATGTGTAATGTGAATGTGGGTCTGAATTTGTTGAATTAGGTTAACTAATCACAAATGACAATCGACAAAATGACACTTGAGAATAATGGAGCTGAGGACAAAACACAACATCAGAATGACACTAGTCACGTCGAAAACCAATCAATTGGTCATTGAGTCAGTTGTTCCAAGTTATAATGATGCTCCGCTTTCCGCTTGCTGAGGTTGCAGTCTGCTTGAAATCAAATTTCCATTTCCTCAACCTCTCCTCAGATCACTCTATTACAGAAAGACAAGGTGAAATCTACTACCGAACATGGAAAACTGGCAACATTGTCAGGTCGAATCCCTGTTTCACATAAAATTTTCTACTCGCCAAAGTGTGGCTGGAAAAGTGTGGATAACTTCACACTAGTCAATGATGATGGTTTTTTAGTTTTGACTCTCCTTGGGTTTTGACTACTTTTGAGTTTTGACCACGTTTTGACTTTTGACCAATTACCAATTCCATTCAATTTTGAGCTTTGACCAAGTTCGTTTTTAGCATAGAATAGAATAGAATCAAATTGAATAGAATAATAAAAATATTTGATCTACATTATCATCAACCTGTTGCCTGTAGGCTTTTGAAGTTTTGAAATGAAAATAAATTAAAGTAGGTAGGTAATGATTATTTTATCATCATCACCAAGATATCAATCAACAAACATCAGAGAACGAAAGAGATAAGAATGGCGAATTACGCTGGTGGGGTAAGTCAAGTTAATAATTTCAATGTCAAATATTATCTCCTCAAGTCCTCAGCTCCGATTGGAAAACTATTCGGATTTTAATCTGTGATCATTCTGTGATTCAAGCAGCTCACTCTCATGAACCATTTGGTGGTACCTATTTTCAGTTTAAATTTTTATTTGAGATAAAATCAAATGGATACAGAAGTTAATGAAGTTAATAGTCAGGTGGGTGGTCATATATGTATATGTTATCATAATACCTAGATACTAAATTACTAATTGTAATTATTACTAGAGTGCTGGCTTAATTATTAGGTATTTATCACTAGACATTGAACAACAACTTCTGTTCAATGCACTAGATGACCAACTATAAATGTACATTTGTCTATGGCTGTAACACAAAATTGTTCTTGTTTTACTGTGGTTGAAAAAACAATGAGGTACTTTGAATGTCATTAATTTTATGTCTGTATCTGACAAGACAATGGCTTCATTGTGGTGTTATTATTTCACAAAATCTCATCTGCCATGACATGTCAAATTACAAGCAATGCAATGACAGCTCTGTCTGATAGATGAACACTCCAATGAGCATCTCCTCAATCAGATGGCTACAAATCTGGATCATAGGCAGGTTTACACCATACAAACCTTGTAGCACTTGTTTATGCACACAACTGTACATATACCTTATTGGGCATTATTGTAAACTAACTATATGAGATTTTTGTATTCAAACTTCATGTGGAGCAAACATTCAATAAATATCATTTATTTCTGAATGTTCAACAATAATTAAGGCCTTTTGAGCCAGTCATTTTTGTCGTTTGTAGAAAAAATTTTGTTTGCAATTCTTGCAGAAATACCTTGGTCATCTTGACTATTTTTTTCAACAAGACTGCGCATCCTTGACAAAATCAGTTATGGATCAAGAAAGTAGCATTTTGCGCACTAGATCCAAAAATAACATTTTATTTCACCCTTTCCAAGTATTGTTCTTTTCAAAAACTATTGGTTTTATAACAGAAAAACTGAAACAATTTGCAATTTTCACCTCCTTGTAAATATTGAATCACGATAGGAAACCATTTAAATCAATGATGATTATGCAATGATTGTAATGTGTTGTTTCTAGTTTTATTTTTTATTTTTTCAGGCAATACCCCTTGCTGTAAGTTTGGGAGTAGTGATAGTGTCCATAGTACTTTATAGGTTGTATGCTTCAAAATCATCACATAGCTCTGCATCCTCCAGCAGTATTTCTAATAAAGGTAAAAGATAACAGAGCAGTCTACTCCAGCAGTTCTAAACTTTTTTTGAGTAATGTACCTGAAAATCCTTTTTATAATATCAAGTACCACCTAATTAAAATACAACCTATCTAGGTAATCTAATTAATGTTAATTTACATGCTAAAATTTTATATATTTTGTGGAGATTTCTTTTTTTTTTTTCATTTTATTTGTTGTTTTTGCATTTTAAATCTGTTTTTGTGTACCACTACAAATACAGTGTTTGAGGAACCACTAGTAAAATAGTGTTCCAAGCATTCACACATTTCCCAAGCATTTCACCCATTTCGTAAGTATTTCATCCACTTTAACCATTTCAAAAGTATTTTACAATTGTTTTTTCATTTTCTAGTATTTCATTACCATTTCGATTTTTTAACAGGGAATTTGTATCCAGTAGGTACTTACCAAACAATCATTCTGTGGTAATAGGAAAAACAATCATTTTAACAGTTATTTATACAGAAAGGGTGTGAAATAGGCAAACTGCAAGCCCACTAAAACTCAACTGAAAAAACAGTGAAATTATTTTATCGCCTGCCGGACTACTTGAACACTCACTGTATGGTAATTTCAGTATTTTCAAGTTTTTGCGAAACTTTTCTCTTCATATAATATACTGATTCGGATATATAAAGTCCCCTTAATTTTCAACGTAAAATCTACTGTTGAAGAGAAAATGGAGGGTTACTATTTGTGAGATGTTTTTGAAAATTTTCGAAGATTTGGGTACTATAGGCAAAAAGGTCTCATTTATACAGGGTGATTCAAAAGTAAAAACTTTAGGAGGTGATTCCTCACAATATTCTAGTATGAATTGTCCAAATAAGTATACGTCCGGAAACACTTCATTGCCAATAAGATACAGGATGGTACAGTTTTATTTTTATTTCAGTTTTTCAACATAACTTTTGAAATAATGACCTTAATTAAACGAAAATTGGTATTGAGAGGTTTTTTGAGGTGTCTAATTTGAATCTGATGTTATTATTGCTCTTACCCTTAGGGGCGCCACCTACACGTCTATTTATTTTTTGAAGATTCATAACTTCTTGGGCAAAACCGATTGCTATTGCAGAAAACTAAGAATATTTTAGTTGAAACGAGGACTTCCGAAAATCCCTGCATAAGATTTTCAAATAACTAGTTCCAGTATTTTCGCATATACAGGGTGGTCCGTTTTTTAATACGGAAAATTTAACAGCGTATAGTACTCGTTGAAATAATAAAAAAACTTCCTATGAACATATACTTTTAAACGCTTCGGTTTTGAGATATTGGGTGTCAAAAATACGCTTCTGAATATATTTTTTTAATCAAAAGTTAGAAACGGTAGATAAATCAACGAAATTTTTCACAGATACTAAACTTTTTGAGCTTTATTAGATTAAATAAAAATTATTCATAAAAAACAAACAGGCAATTTTTGCAAAACAAACTGGAACTATTGATTCAAAAAAATAGTAAATACCTGTGTGCAACATATAACTTATCTTAATCATTAGAGTTACCTACTTCAAAGTTTGCAATATTCATTGTGCTCCTACGCACTAGTGTCATTTTGGGCAGCCATTTTTTTTTTTTCATTTGCCAGGCATCAAATTTCTTATTGAAATGTCAAGTTTACTTTGACTAAAAAAGATGAGTGGTAAAATGATGCATGGATTTTCGATATTTCATGCATTATTTGTACATCATTATGCATATTGAATGTTCTCGTGATCTCATGGTTTCTTCTAACACAATATGAAGTAAAACTAAGATTTTTTTGAAAAAAACACATTGCAAGCCGGTCATTCCGATTATTTTATTGCCGGAAATAATATGCTCTGCAGCAATGAATTTGCATGCAATGAAAAATTGAAAACTGTAAGGCGCCTCTCAGAAGAGTTAATTTTCCGCCTATGGACGCTCAGATCATTATAATGTTCAGGTTGCCATTGGAGAAAGTTTGAATTAGTTCATGACTATAAGTCATTTGAAATAATTCACGAATTAAATCACTGACATTCATATGAATTAATTCGTGCCAACCCTGGCCGTGAGTCACCCTGTATATGTGTTGTATTTGTTTATATTACCATTTTTATTACTTATTCAACAATCGCATGCAGTCCCCTTTCTGCAAGTGATAATTGCATATCTGTACCTACAACTATAAGAACCTGATTCATGTTATGTAAATCATCAAAAGAGATTATTAAAAGTATCTATCTATTTTTTACATTTCGCACTGGGTGGATCAACAAAAAATATGAATTATCATTCTGCTGCAGTTACTTATTGAATTCATAACTTTTTGCAGTATTCAAAAACCTTTTTTTGTAGGAAAGAGCAAGAAAATTCTACTCGTAGATCCCCAAGCAAAATACAAGTTGCCTTTGATTGAAAAAACTATCATTAGTCATGACACAAGAAACTACAGATTTGCCCTACCAGAAAAGGATATGGCACTTGGTAATATACTCTCATAGAACATTCATATTGTTGAACCGATAAATTATAGTATATATGAATTTCTCCTAGGTCTCCCTATTGGACAGCACATTCAGTTGTCAGCTAGACTTGGTGAAGATTTAGTTATAAGGTCTTACACTCCTGTGTCATCTGACGATGATAAAGGTTACATTGACTTGGTTATCAAGGTAAGAATGTTAATGAAAACAAGAAGTATATTAAAGTAAGTAACATATATTATTTTCTACAAACAACTCAAAAGCATTTGTTGAAACTGTCAAACTGTTAGGTGTTACACTGGACGACAGACTAAACTGGTCAGCTCACACAGAGCAATGTATGAATATTTCTAAATACTAATTTTTACTCCGTAAAATGAAGACTATCATTAGTTTGCAAGCTTTACTATCAGCTTATTATACTTTCTTCCATTCAAGAATTCCATATGGAATAATACTATAGCGTAATGCAAACGAAGTTTTCTTGTTACAAAAAAAAGCTGTAAGAATAATCAGTGGATCAGGGTTTACCGATTCCCGTAGACCGCTTTTCCTAGAACTCAGTATCATGACGTTACCATCCATTTACATCTATCTATCTATTTTAAAAATACGTAAAATTCCGCATTGACGATGACTTCCGGTGTGACCAGAAGGACCATGTTTACCTACGTAATACCAGCTAACTGCATGAAAACAAAGCACACTTTTCACAAAACAGCATAGAAACTACTACGTATCTTATTTGTATTCTTATGAATGCATCTAAAAGACAAATAAATTATCTATCTATCTATCATATACCAGGTGCCCAGAACAACGTACCGTAAATTCTACACATTATGTACAATGTACCGTTGAGTCGTAAAAGGGCGATGAAGAACAATTTCATTTCCAGATTTTCTTCAATATTTCAAAATCTCAAAAATAAGCACCTAAAATCTTGATACTCAGTTTTGAAACACCCTGTATAACTAAGATCTAGATGCGTCAGCTGGAACGTCCTATCCTATGTCATTGACTACGGGATGCCCATGCCTGCTCTAGCAGATATAATATCATTTGATGAAGGCAGAGTTGAATATCCTTCAGTAGTTTCTATGCTGTTTTGAGAAAAGTGTGCTTTGTTTTCATGCAGTTGGCTGGTATTACGTCGGTGAACATGGTCCTTCTGGTGACTCCGGAAGTCATCGTCAATGCGAAATTTTACGTATTTAAAACTGTCAATATGTCAAAATGTTGTCTTGAACCACTTTTCTTCTAGTTGCGAATTTATCATTTGGCTACAAAATCCCCGATCTTTTTCAGGTTTACTTCAGAAACGTACACCCCAAATTTCCTGACGGTGGTAAGATGACCCAGCATATAGAGTCTCTGAAAATAGGAGATACAATTGAGGTTCGTGGCCCATCGGGTCGAATTCAGTATGAAGGACATGGTAAATTTGCCATCAAAAAACTTAGAAAAGACCCTCCTGTTATCATCACCGCCAAACGGATTGGGCTCATAGCAGGTGGTGTGGGAATAACTCCTATTCTGCAGCTTGTTAGGTAAAATCTTTTTTTTTCAATTCCTGTCATTTATATTCGTCTCAATCTCCGCATTGAATTGTTAATCAAAATCCTATCCTTCCTAGGTACGCAGGATGCTCTCCGAACATTTATAGGGATTTTTTCTCATGCACTCCATGAAATTTTTTTTATTTTCATGACTTGGAACTATTTCATTTGAAGCAAAATCATTCAAACAAACGGGATTCAGATTCTATCAATCAGTTTGTTCTCGTTCATTTCCAGTCATCAAATAAACAATCTAGAAAAGAAAAAATGATCGATCGGGGATAACAATTATTTGAAGAACTTGTGATATTTCCTTTTATAATGGGTTGAGGATTTTTTGTTTCCTTAGTTGTTTTCAGCCAGAAACTCTTTTTTATATTCAGGCCCTTGTGTATAATCACTAATGAAAATAAGAGAAACTGCATAAAATTTGCTTGTTTAAATACCCAAATCTCATAAATGACATATTCATTCAACCAGTTGACATGGCGCGAATTTACTTCTAGCATATTGTTGGCAACTAATATCTGACTAATAAATAATTCTACTGAAGCTTGGCATGACCTCTGAGAATACAAAGTATGCTGAGTGCCGAATATCGATATAGAACAATGATTTTGTAAAACTAAATACTCAAATCTCATCAATATCTTAATGGGTATCATAGTTATTTATACACAAAAGTAGTAAAAAATATCATTATTATTACCCAGGAACCAATATTATATCCCGAGGCTTCAGGCGAGAGATATAAGGTCCCGTGGTAATATTCTTTACTGCCAAGGTGTATAATAAATTGTTTTTTTTTTGTGACGGGAAAAAAGTTTGGCATTTCATCTCTGTTGGCAGGTTATAAAATGTCACTTTTCATAAATTACTTTTTTCCCGTGGGAAAAAAGTGAGTACTTTTTTCCCGGATATATATCACATAGCTTGATTGTTTAGTTGTCTGTTGAGTATATGTTAAATTTTTCAATAAACTACTACTACTACATATATATACACTGTTGATGGCTTTTGTTGTGCTAGTTCCGAAAAATGAGTCAATAATACCGTCTCCGAGCCAAAATTGAAAGTCCTTTTATCTTCCATTCGACTTCGCGGTTACGTATATTACTAAAATACCACTAAATTCGCAATTTTTTGAAATCAAATCACAGAATTAGACTGACAGAAGTGACATCAGATATTTGATTACTTCAAAAGAATGATAATGATGCCTACAACGAAGGTGTCCCTACTGTTAGAAACTTGAAATTTCATGTCGATAATTTTCAGATTTCAAAATAATGTAATATCTTCTCAATATTGATTCGTCCTTTCTTCTGTCACAGAAAAAAATAGTGTATTATACACGGGAAAAATATTAGATTTTAGCTCACGGTTTTAGCGGAGGGAGACAACACAACCTGGAGCTAAAATCTACTACTTTTTTCCCTTGTATAATAAATAACTATTTCACCACTAGCAATATATTTTAATCACTATAGTTTTGCGATATTGAAATATGGACCTATTTTCACTATGAAAGCACTCTCAATTGTAATTGAAATCTAGTAGCCATGACCATGACAGCATATGAAAAGTCGTTATTGATAAATTCCTACTAAGATTCGAGTGCCATTCCTAGGAATCTCGCATCAGAACAGTAAAATCTTTTAACTGAATTATAACAGAGGTGGCTATGTCTTTATTGATTAGTAGTTTATAAAATTACTAAATCTTCCTTGGTAGAGGAAAACACACTTTACGCCTTGAAAAGGAGTAAATAAAGGTAGGTTCTATTACTAGTAGTGGAAAAAATAGGTTATTATATTAGTAAAGTACCCTTCTTGCTCCCCTTCTTGCTCCACTTCTTGAGTAAAGACCAAAAGAGTACAATTTGAAACCCAAAGTTGGTACCTTCTCAGAGGAAGTGGGCTTTATTTCCATTTTCTAGAAACCGAAAACAGAGATATGGAAGACCGTGCCACTGTCGTTGGACCTTGTGTGAAGTTATTTTTCTTTTTTACTTCTAGGCACATAACTAAAGACCCTACCGATGAAACAGAATGTGCACTCGTGTTCGCAAATCAAACTGAACAAGATATTTTGGTGAGGAAAGAGTTGGAAGAGGTAGCAGAGAAATATCCACACAGATTCAAGTTGTGGTATACACTGGACAAGGCAGAAGAAGGTAAGATAAGCCGTAAACGTTAATATTATTTCCGAAAGAAACTGAATCAGAATTGAAAATTTATACAGGGTGGGTCACTCTTGGACTATTGATCTTAACTATTTTCAGTAATGTAGCATTGCCGCTTATACCAGCAAGTAGTAGCAACTTTGTTATTTCAAATGGAACACCCTTATTTCATTGCATTTTTAGATTTAGAGGGAGAATCTTACTTAAATAATCAAATTTTCATAATGATCCTATGTCCTGTTTTCCGTAAACGTCCAAGGTACCATCGACCGTGACCCACCCTGTATTATAGTAGATCAATATTTCCAACTTGAGCATCATGTACCTCGGAAATAAAGCAAATTGGAGCTTATAATCCTGACAATTCAATTCATGTATGAAAATTCGCATAAGTTTGTCATTATCACAGTGACAAAACTTTTTCCTAAGTTTTCCAGCGACAAAACGGAATTCAACGTTTATCTAAATGTCAATCTTGCGTTGTCAGAAAAGTATCTATTCTGGGAATTCCGCGATTTGGAGTCTGTGAGTGAAGAAATTGGAAAAACCATCAATAATAGTGTGATTTTCGTATTCATCATTGTCTTACTGAATTGCACTGGAGCATTTTTTTCTGGGTCCAAGTAAATTTGAAATTTATAATTCGAGTTCTGTTGCCTTCAGGAAATTTAACTCAAAAAACTGCCAGATTTCAATTTCCTGGCAACAAAATTCTCATTTTGAAATGTCAAGTTTACTTGGACAAAAAAATATCTTCTGAAACTGTACCGGGTGAACAACTAAGAACGGCTGTCGGCCATATCTCAGAAACGAATAATGATACAAGTTTGGGATGGAATAAATCGAATGGTATGCATATCATTACACGATGTAATAGAGAAACTAAATCTCAACAGACCAACGAAAACAGCAACATGATAGCTCTTCGCCAACGGAAGATATTAACTATCAAAGTTCGAAGAATGATATATATGACAGCCGTTCTTAGTAGTTCTCCGCGCCCGGTACATTTTCCTAATAATAATAATAATAATGGTGCTTCTCCTTGAATAATTATTTTTCATTTGTTCTCTAGGTTGGAAATACAGTACAGGCTTCATTAATGAACAAATGTTGAAAGACCACCTATTTCCACCTTCAAATGAAACCTTGATCCTCATGTGTGGTCCTCCGCCAATGATAAATTTTGCATGTTTGCCAAATTTGGAGAAAATAGGACACAACAAGGATCTTTGCATTGCTTATTAAATTCGAATTGTCAGTTGAATCAAGTTTTATTAAAAATGTTATACAATAATAATTGTTGACTTTTATAACATCCTAAAATTATTGCAGTACTGGAATATACAGCTACGATATTCAAGGTTTTCACAAAGATCTTATCTGGAATGTTGAAGTATTTACTCAATTATTGATTTCACCTTCAAGTGTTTTTTTCTCATCATTGTATCATTCCGTCCTCTTCCTTCAAAATGAGATAATAAATTGTGAACTCATTGTGCACCAAGTAGATAATAAATTGTTTAGTCATTGTGCACCAAGTATTATTTTATCATTCAGTTGAGATCCTTGTCTTGAAGCAAACATATCAGGCTTTTATTATTTGGTGAACTCAGTGTAATGGGTTCATAAACCTTGACAATATTAGCAGCTTATGGATGTCATCGGCCCATTTCGTTTCAACCAGTTCGTTTAATTTCATGAGAATGACGTAGGAGAGTGGATTTCTCTTCGATTTTTTCCATCACTTGGAGCGCACGAAAGGGAATCTATATTGTTTTGTTGAAAGAACATCGTGCGTATCCATGGAGGATAGGAAGTGGTCATTTTCTAGACTACGACATCGCTTGGATCGTTAATTATGGATATTATGATCGGCTAGTCGGCTACCTTCTTTACGTCTTTAAGATTCTCTCTCGCGTGTACATGACTTTATTGACAACATGCGGTATCTGCGAGGCAATTCTCTCTTCATAGAAATAATTTTCAAGTAAGCAAATGAGCTATGGGTCTGATTGCCACCCCTGTGGCAAAGGTTCAATCCTTGTGAAGGTCAACTATATTTTCATTTTGTTCTCAAGAAATTTTCCCAAGAATACATTTCCTACCTTCCTAGCCAAAGGGATATTCAACGAAAAATATGCTTCATAGGAAGAAGGTTCACTTAGGCCGAGCTAGGTTAGATTGTTTAGTAAAAGTAGTATACCTTGTCAGTTCTCTCAAGTAATCTTTCGAAAAATATACTTTCTAGAAAAGTTCATTCTGGCCAAGTTATGTTAGATTGTTTAAAAAAAGGAGTCTCTTCTATTCTCTCAGAGTAATTTTCCGAAGAATACACTTCCTAGGAACAAGATTCATTTAGACCGAGCTAGGTTAAATTGTTTAGAAAAAGTAGTCTGCAAAAAAGATATTTTTTCTCCAAACGGCATAGAAAATAGCTTTTCTATGACACTTAACAGGCAGCGAAGGTGTACTTTCTCTGCCTTGGTAGAAAAAGTTTGTTGCTATTAAACGTTCCAAGTAATTTGAATTAAATTGGTAATCAAAATTGACACTGACATTGGGTGAACATAAAATGATGGAGTTTTCAATTTAACTATTTATATATCAAAGAAGCAAAGGTATCCATTTCCTCCCGAGTGGTGGAAATGAACCTTTGCTCCCAAGATATATATATATATGATTTGATCAACGAACGCATATATTTGAGAGCGTCGTTCTCAAAATTCTGTTGCAAGCGGTCTATCTCTACAAAAGTGTAGTATGCGCCCACAGAGTATGCCATGGACAATTATTGCCATAGAAAATGAGCGTACGCCACCTACCGGAGTTCTTGAAAGCTGTCAAAGCGGCATGTTTACTGGGGCGTGTGTTTCTATCGCGAATATTTGAATCTGAACGAAAATCAATTTGACACTTCTGTCATATTGAATGTGTTTATTGTGATATTGCATTTTTGAATGGGGAAGACCACTGAGGGAAGAAATCCGTGCAACCTCTTTCAATCGACGAATCATTATTTACGTTTGATCTAACAATCAATATTATGAGTTGAAGTTGAAGGGAATCGAATCTATATCGTTTTGAAATCAGCATATTTCATTCGTTATTTCGAAAAGCCAAATATGATGGTGAAGCCGTGACGTATTAGTCCCGAACTGTAGCTATCTCTCTCTGATACCTCGTCATTCTGCAGTGTTGCAGTGTGATTGGTGAGTTCAAGGACAATACGCGTGTTGGGACTAAGACGTCGCACCAGTCTCACCAATGAATTGACAAAATTTCAAATAGCGCAGGAATTATGTGTTTTGAAATGGACAAATTCTAATTTATTTTTTCACCGTCTTAGCATGATTGAAAAAAATCAAAATTAATTCACTGGTAGTTTTTCAGTATAGAGTTCACGATAATGTCGTTGAAAAAAAATCAGTGGTCTCCCCCATTGCAAGTTTCGACTTTGATTGAGTGAGTTTGGAAAACGAGGAAGTGTATGAGTGTATTGGAGTTTGGAAAGGAAGTTGTTATTTATTTTATAGTAGTGAAAGTAGTGATTAGGTACTAGGGTAGCACAGATCTAATACGTATATCTCTACCAAGGGAGCAAGCTGAAGCCGATTTATTTTACCTCCCACGGGAGGTAAAATTCTGTTTACTCCCGTGGGGGTGAATTGACAGGTTTGTGTCCTTAAATGCAGGAGCAAACGCTTACTTTCGATGCAGTGAGTAGATACAAAAATTACACGAAATTGGTTTTGAAACATTTTGAGAAAAAATAGGTATGTTTCACATGACAGCAAGTAGATTGACTGCCTTGGCCGCGGCAGTCAATCTACTAATTTGCTGCCTAGTAAAACAAATAACCATTCATTTCATATATTACTTTATTACACGTCTTCGGAATTCAGAGAGCCACATGGTATGGCTTGTCTCGCGTCGCTGTCTACACCGCTTCGGGTTTTCTTCTTCCTGAACACTGCAAGACTCTTAAAGATGTTAAATTGTACGTATTTTGAGCTGCCGGTTTAGCAGATCAGAATTTATGTTGAATCCCACATGGTGAAACTACACACTCTAGATAGACAATGCCTGTGTAAAAATTGGCGAACGCTCCAATGGGAACAGACCGGCGGTTAATCGGCTGTGTTGATTCGTTGTTCAAATATTATTATTGGAGTCGATGAAATACGCGGCGTTATAATGAAGAGATGCGCACAGCGACGTCCCAACCGAGCTTTGCCCATTTCTTCCATTTACGATGTCTTTATTGTCTATGATCTTTGACCTCGGGAAATAATATAGAATACACAGCATTTTTGCGACCGGGCTACTTAACACAAAATTCAAATACTCCACTTTTTTCCTCTACTGATCCATACTATCTAGCACCTATCCTGATTCCCCTTTCGAATAGAGTAACGTGACGTTAGATAATTTAATAATTCGAAAGGAATAGGAATTTCGAACATGCAACTGCATGCAACCAACGAGACACACAAGTGATATTGGCTGTAGATGTGTCCAGTCGATAGGATACATGATTTTTATTTAAATGGCTTACTCACTAACCTTTGTTAGAAGTTTCCATCTGACGTAGAAGATAAACACTTCGATTCGCAGAGGTATCAAAGTTTTCGATTTATCAGGTTTGTATCCATATTCTGATTGCATAAGTTTAGCATAGAATTAATTGCCCACGAAGATGAGAGCTTCATTTTTACACAGAGTTCTTTGAAATATGCAAGTATCTAAACATTCTCTTCGATTTCACTTTCGCCTACATTTTGCATAATGAAGAATTCTGATAAAAACAGAAACTAAATAAATCTTGTCACCGATTGCAACAAAATTCGAAAATGACAGATGACAGTTCCTAAAATAGACAATCCGGACAGGAATCAAACAACCGGAGGTGTGTTTGAAAAACCGTGTTGCCATGGTAATGGATTTTTGCCATGGTAACGAGTTTAATTTCTTGAATAAGTCACAGATCGTCAATCGTGGTACATACCTGTACGCTAAATGCTATTATTGAGTAGAAAAAAATATTTCGACAGTTTTTCTAAACAGGTTGTTTTTTAGAATCGTTACATATAGGAGTATTAAGAAAGGATGGCATTTGGTAACATTGTCAGCTACGGAGTAATAGCGGTCGTATCACTGTAGGAGGCAGAGACTAGCGTTAGCCAAATCAGTCTCTTGCGATGTTGATATCCAAATATGTAAGAATTCGATAAACGACCTGTATATTGGTGTTGAAACAAAGTGTAGTATATTATTCACATGGGAAGAACAAATAAGTCAACATTAATCCTAAAAATATATTTCTTGAAATTTTATTGCACATGCATACAATAATAATATTTATTGATCATAATACTTGGGTTAAACTTTATTTCTCAATAGAGAAGTTATAAGTACTATTTTATGTACAACTTTTCAAAACACTAGTCTTCAATCTCACTCATATCAGAAGTAATATATATTATATATATAAGAATAATGCCAATAGGGTTTCTATCTTACTCTCTCATTTGATTTTATATTCCTATAAGTTATGAAAAGGACATATCAATATTACAGAATTTTTCTAAAAGAATTGTAAGCTGTCTATAATCCGTATCTATCCGTATCCGTAAAGTGTATGCGTATGTATTCTTCCGAATGATGACATTTTACTTCATAAAAATAAACAAATTTGGGATAGGGATAAACTCCCATCGTGTAACGTCAACAATTGAAAATCGGTTGAAAAATGAGGAAGTCTGCAGCAAACCTTCACTTGACATAATTTCTATGTTTTGTTGTACCGGTTGTCAGCAAACCGAGAGTAGCTGATGAGGTCTGGTGGGCCGAAAAAGCACTGTCTTGCACTTGCTGACAATGGGAAAGTTTCCTATATTGAGGTTCTTATCTCACTGTGAAGTTTGTAAAAAATTAATAGCTACGTATTTTTTCTTCTTTTCGTAAGATCAAATTTTACTTCATAAAAAAATGAATGAAAGAGGAACTTGGCTCCTCCACCATTCCTATGACGTACTTTCGTGTCGGCTTCAGTCTGCTCTGACCGATGACAGTTAATTAGGAAGGAGAGTGTCATTGAATGTAGCCGATAGTGATTCATTGATTCAATGATATTTTCGTTTAGGATCGAGCTCTATTCGAGATATTTCAATGCATCAATAACATAACCATAACCTGTCAAAATGAAGCCAACTACCCTCTGCTTTCCTGCTCTGAGGTAATTTGTGATTATTTATGTTTTTGTTTACCAGTTCTACTTCTTCTATTTTTTTCATTCGTTAGCTATTCGCCAGCTATATTCTTCACTATCAACTATTTTCAGACTAGATTCAGAATGTACGTCACAGTTTGCTGCCCCGAAAATTAGAAATTGCTTCAATTTGAAAATGAAAATGACTTGGACTTCATCGGTCGCCATTCTGTGAAGCGTGGACATAAAACTGGAGAGTTCCGAACTTATTTTATGAAAATTCATCGGAAGGAAACTTCCCCATTGGGGCCACTCTATTCTTCCTAGATATCTCTTATTTTACATCAGTATCAATAAAACTTAACTTAAACATAGTTATGAGATCTAGTTATTCAAATAGGATGGAAGATCTTACGTACCTATGTGTTCGCTATTTTATAGACGACTGCTGGTGGTGTGAGAACCCTACTTTTGATCTGAGCCACTAAATAGCGATTACCATGACCGAATTGATATTCGAGGGGTATATTGTCGAAACGAATATTTATGTAGCCAAGGATAGGTCACAATATAATTCATGGAATGATCGAAAGTTATTTTGTTGGAGAATATTTTGACTAGTAGTAGAAATTGAATTAGATACTGATTTTATCGATGATCGCATCAACATAATTGTGAATTTAGGAAACACAACTGAAAAAAGTACAGGAATATTATGTGTGACTGTGGAATGAAACTAGGCGGAGGCAAAAAACAAATACTCAGAACATGACGAAACGTTGGCTTTCAAGAAAATAGTTTTCTTCAATCTAAGATCTGAATCCCAAAAAATACAGTCATCTTTCAAAACATGAAAAAATTTAAATTTAGAACATCCTGCTCTTTTCTTCGATTATCGTCTGTATGTTAAAATAAAAAGCGGACCTAACTTCTAAATTTGTTCCTAACACAGTATCAACATGATATCCTGAAAGCACCAGTTCATTGTTCCGAATAATACTACACCTTGTATGGCCCAGTTATAACAGGCTTCTTGGGAATGTATCCATACAAAAATATGGAGAATATCACAAAAGCAGCACCAAGAGTGAACTGCATGGACAATTCGAAATCAAATAAATAAATTGAAGCTACACAGGAAATAACTATGGCTAAAGAAGTGGCAAAACCTTTGAGGATGTTATCTGCGTATTTCACAACTACAGCAACTATCAGCCCTCCACAAGCTTGCAGCACAACCAGGTAAGCCACAAATTTATCGTAACCAAAGAAAAACCCAGTTTCTCTGATTATTCTGCCATCGTAAACGTAGCAAGACAACAGTCCGAATGGCACGGAACAAAATGAAAGCTGGACATTTCTCATCCACACAGTTACATCGCTACCTTTCAACATTTTTTCGAAATAAACTCCCGCGAAACCGGACAGACAACAGGCAGTCAGAGCTGCCATGAACCCGATGAAGTGGTTCTGTTCTGGGCCGGTGGTTGATGGTTTGTCATCCGATTGTGCTAGCTGTACTAAGACGACTCCTATTACGAGGGTGAGGAGTGAGATCCATTGGGTTCGGAGAAGTTCTCTCCTTAGTATAAATACCGAAAATAGGGCAGTTGTGAGGATTTTCAGTTGATAGGTTACCTAGAAATAACATTTGAAGTCACTACTACTACTACTACTACGAGTCGATTTGAAATTCACAAAGTTGATTTGATTTCATCTTGGTTTTTATATCACAATCTATGAAAATGTAAACCTTGGAAACCCTGTGTAAATATTACATATAGTTAGTGTTGGAACAAAATTGTGATCGTAATCTTAGGGCAATGCAAATGAAATTCAGATTATACATATAAATACAAACTAGGTATTTTGTTTTGTCTGAAGAATAATTATTAAATCCCTCAATTCATTTATCATTGATTAAATATTTGGTTCGTAGGCATAACAGGATTTTTTTAATTCGGGTACATTGAATCAATAATGAATATTGTATTTTTCACTCTCTCACGTTTGATATTTTTCCGAAAAATATGTTGTTTTCAGATTATTTTCAATCGTTTGTTTCAACAATTTTTACACGACTACGGGCAAAGCTAACAGGGAGGGTTATGCACATATGACTGATTATGACCATTTGAATGGTCGAAACATTTCTCAATCCTTGAAGCAGTATTAGCTGCATTTCCGCTATTAAAATATTTCTTAGTATAAATGATTGAATGAATATCGCTTGTTCTGATCAGGACACTTACCTTTCATGAGTAAAGTGAAAAAGGTACAAACGAAAACACGACAAATAGTTCAGTCTCTTTTTAGCGAGCTTTCTACAAAGCAACGGTAATTCCACTATGTTTCAATATTTTACAATAGTTTACAATTGATATGACTGATACTTTATGAGAATGAGTCATGGAGACTTAGGTAATGTTGTTCTGAAATTCGATATTTGAAAGAGAATGCATCCGTCATCTGATATGATGATCTCAAAAATTTCCCATTGGGCAAATATTCTTAAATGACTGGACGGGAAATTTTTCGTATGAAACTTTATACACTAGACAGCTTTGTTGTCACTGAATATTCATATGATTATCATAACTTTATATTATGGTCAATTAAAATGATTTTTTGTTGGCGATCAGTGATATATCTCGAACAGTGCTCAATACCCATCATGAACAAAAATAAATAAATTATTATCGTCTTGGTCATGTTACAAAATGACGTCAAATTTTGAATGCTGCCACTCGTATTTCGGATGAATATGATTTGGATGCATTGTAATTGTATCATTTTGAAAGCACGAAAATATCCGTCCGAATTCGAATCGTATGTAGGATGACGGATGCATGGAATGGAAATGCCTCTTTTCGATCGATATTTTCGTCAGGAATATTCGATATTTAAACAATGAAATTTTGAATTTATTTATGAGTCAATTCCACAGATCAATTTTGAAAAAAATGTCCACATAGGTGGATAGGCAATTTGTACTAGTATACGTTGACATCACTTCTGGTAGAACATGAAATGGGATTCGTCATGTGAATATGTCTAAAGGCCGATTTATGCAACGTTCATTAAAAATACATTTTCATTACATTATTAATTGAGAATGTTGAACACTCATGTATTATAGAATGCGTTCATGCAACACGGGCGCAAACAAAGTTACAGGGAGAAACCTAGCACCTAGATCATCCAGTATACCATCTCAGTATGCCTGTAGTGAACAATAGAGGAAACTAAATTTGAAGGAACTATAAACTGAATACCAGTGATATAATTGTAATTATTATTGTTATCAATAAATACAGGGTGTCCGGAAAGGTCATGGCGTAAAAGAAAAGGGCTGATAGAGTGAGCCAAAATAATGTTAGTAATTCATATAAAAAATGTCTATCGCGCTCCGTTACGAAGTTATTGACCTTGAAAGTAAGAATAAAAAAATGAATTTCATGATATTCGGACAGGTGAAATAAACTCATACTAATGCTCCTTTCCATACGTAAACGGTTTTTCAGTGAATAGATTCATACAGGATGGGACGAATTTTTTACCTTTAATGAGAGCATTTTTGACAGATGTGAAAAATTTCACATTTTTTCCACCGTTTGATTTCTTCACCTTTTATCTACAAAAATAGTATATTTCATTTTAATTGATATAATGTATCCTTCTAGAGAAAATCTCATTTTAAAACATAAAGTTATCTAAACATCTGCGTTGTATTCGAGATAACATGTGATGATGAACATTTCTTGCGGCGTGTGAAGATTTAAGAACTTGATTCAAAAGCTAATGCCCAATAATAACAGGTGTTTTATAGACCAAACAATGAATATATCCCCAAAGAAATACATCAAGTAGATTAAGATCAGGTGACCGAGGTGGTCATGGAAAAAAGGACCATGGGGAAATGTGATGTTAAAATGATCTCTTATGTAGCTTTGTCGAAATGGGAAGGCGCACCATCGGGCATCAGCCACATATCACCCCGAATATTCAAAAGAATCACTTCTAACAACCGATCCGAATGTTCTTGCAAAAAAGTTCAATATTTATTTATATTTGAAGTTCCATTAATGATATAAGATCCATAATTGAGCAGTTGCCAATTAGTCATATCCATACATTGATAATAAATTGAGTTTTATCACCTTTGAAACGGTTGGGATGTATGCGATTGTCTCTAGATCGGTACAAGATATCGATTGAAACGAAGTGTACCATTTTTGTAGCAAAAAGATGAAGGGATCAAACGGTGGAAGCAAAATGTAGCATTTGTCACCTCTGTCAAAAATGCTTTCATTAAAAGGAAAAAAATCGTCCCATCCTGTATAAAACATAATCATTGAAAAGCCTTTTATATATGTAAAGGTGCATTAGAATGAGTTCATTTACCTGCTCGAATATCATTGATACCATGGCAACCGTTTGAAAGTCATACATGAAATTCATGTTTTCTATTTTAACTTTCAAGGTCAATAACTCCATAACGAAGCGCGATAGACCAATTTTTTATATGAAGTACTATCATTATTTTGGCTCACCCTATCAGCCCTATGATTTACGACATGACCTTTCCGGACACCCTGTATAAGGTGCATCTAGCATCTAGTAACTCAAATATTATGTTCTTACCTGATAAGTTGCTGCATCCAAATGTGATGCAGAAACATACAACAAATTATTTTGTACAAGGTATACAAAAGAAGGAATACAAATTTTCAGAGTATCAATAGGCTGTTTGATGATCTGCTTGTCCAAAGTTTGGAGTAATTGCACCATTCCTCCGGATTCTAGATAGACAAAAACTAGGCAAGTCATTAGCTTGACTACTTCAGACATCAACACAGCTAAAAATAATATTGAAATATTAGTTGTTTTCAAGTTTTGTAAAAATGTAGACATTTTGTGTTACTATCATAGGTTTTAATAATCAATTATATACACAGTGTGCGATTTCAACCCACAACACCCTCCTAATTTGGAACCCGTCGAACAATTATCAAAAACAACAATTCCATAATATTGTACTCCCCCTGTATGTAATTGTCCACGGGTTTTGGCATTTTTTCTAGAAACTATAATACTTTAAAAGTTATGCAGGGGAGAATGTTATGTGGCCATAAAAAAAACACCTGAGATATATGGCAATATCGAGAGATATCCACTATCCAACTTCTCATCATTAGGAACTCCTACTACAATGACTGAGAAATTTAAATTTTCCTGATACCTACCCCATTTCTCATTTGTTCCGAAGAGTTATAAGAAATGAAATAGAAAACTATTCCCTACCTGTTGAAGACAGGAACATATCACCTTCTCGAGTTCTGGCATAACGCATACTCAATCCTAATATGGCATTTTGGAGAGTAAGTGTTACCAAACTAACGTATTTCAATACGTTTGCCTGGCCGTCTGAAAAATGAAATTATCAGAAACTAGTATGGTGAGTGAATATGAATACATCATACCTTTCTTCTGCATTGTTAATGGTAGTTTTGTACTTGTGCTTTCAAGTGGCAAGGAACTTTTCTAGAAGAGAAATCAGAATGAAAGTTTATATATTGAGCTGAAATACCGATGTAGGAATGGAAGTTTATATTGGGCAGCATTTTGGATCGACCATAATATTAGTCTAAGAGCCAGTGCCAGATTTAGGGGAGGGCATCCGGGGCTACAGCCCTGGGGCCTCCACAAAAAAGGAGCCCCCACAATAGAGAAAAAAAAATCTTTCTACTTTCGACGGGTAAACACTAGTGAACAACTTTTCCTTCAATATTTTTTATGGAAAACTCAAGTTCGTTGTTTTACCCTTAGTATTTTGTAGAAACATGATTATATCATTTTTAAATATTGTAAAATTATTCAATTATATTTGTTCACTCCAATATGAAGATATCAATTTGTCAAAATGGCCCTGATAAGCAGTTGTTGTCATTTACTACCCATCTTGATAGGGTATCCCAATATCTGAGTGGGGCAATACTCGTCCGTAGCCTCAGAGGGTGCGTGTTCGTTTCCGCGTTTTCATTAAAGAGGACTATTGAAAAAACCAATCTACTGAGGTATTTTAATATGACATTCTTGAAAATGAAAGTTCAAGAATTACATTCCCGAACATTGAAATTGCACCGAGAATGTATTTAGTTTTTATAACATCGAATTGCACTGGAGAACGCTCATCTTCAAAAAAGAAAATTATAAAAAATAGGCTTCGAACTTCGATGGGACGAAACCTTCTTTCAGATAATTTTTGTTTTCGACAATATTTCTACTGGGTGTTTCTTAAGTACGCGTAAAAATTACAGGAGCATGTTGCTGACCTCAAAATGAGAGGAAAAGTTCGTATAAACATAATTATGTCAGTAAGTTATTCAATTCTGAGATACAAAGTGTCAAAGTTTGATTCTTTTTCTTGTTCTTTTGTGAGTAAATCCAGAAATGAACGTGATATTAGAGTGAAATTTGGTATCTCACCCGAATATCACGATTATTTTGGAATTCATTCACAAAAAACCGAAATAACAATCAAAATTTGACACTCTGTATCTCAGAATTAACAACTTGCGGACATATGTTTATACAAACTTTTCTTCTCATTTAAACGTCAGCAACATGCTCCTGAAGTTTCACACGTATTCAAGAAACACCCTGTATATGTTAAAATAATTTAGATGGTTTCGCAAAAAATTATTGACCGAGATATTTCTTAATTTTATATGGAAAACAATTAGGAGCCAGGGGGCCTCCACTCTTTTGCTGCTCCAGTGCCTCCAGACCTCTAAATCCTGCTCTGCTAAGAGCTAGAGTTCCTAAATGTTCTTGACACTGCTGTTTTGACGTTTTTTGTAACAAAAAACGTCAGAATCAGAAGTGTCAAGTACATTAAGGAACTCTAATAAGAGCCAGCGATCGGCAGACTTACGGTATGTTAGCAAATTTCATATTCATGCTAGATATTCTATTTCACCTGCCGTATGTGAAATGAGGATTCACTATCCTCCTCGAGGGTTCCTTTGGGAGTGTCCAGAAGTCGAAAAACGTCAAAAATTACTTCAAAATAGTATATTACGTAGCACGAGTTGTAAGTAATCTATTACGCACGAAATGAAAAAGTACCGATATGCAAGAAATGGATTAAAATGAATTTGTTGAACGATGTGACTACAATAGCCAGTACGAAATCATGCAATTGTTCATCAGTATTTTGTTCGATATTTTTTCACCAATCCGGTGGAAGTGTGCCGTACAAATTGAAAAGTTAAACTTGTAGTGTTTTTCCCGATCTTTCTGATTCTGATGAAAGTTTTAGAAAAATACGATTCAGAAAGTCGAAATTTTGACATTTAAAAAGGAAATTAGTTTCTCAAGTCCGGCTCTGGAATTTTATTCCCATAGTATGCCATCGTGTGGTGTGTCAGTAGAGGTACGTTTCTGGTAAATTTCTGGCGATAACATCGAGACGTTCCTGAAATATCGTTCATCAAATTTCGCCCCGAATTCAAATAATGCCCAGTATTTCTGTTACGAATAGGCAAGATATATTTTTTCACATATATCAACTCACCTTGACTTCCTCGATCTACCATTAGGCTATGGCTGGTTAGTCATGACTCACCCTGTATAAGGAGCCCACTAGGATATAGCATTTAGTTTGAATCTTCTTCTGAAGATGCTAACATAGCGAAACACATGTCGAGGTGTCAAACATCGGTTTGGTTAGTGGTCAAACAGTGTGTAGTGTATTATCGTGCCAAATGTCCCAGCCTTATATAATGATAGATTTGAATTATAATACGAATTTTTTATGAACCAATTATTCGATATTTCGATACAAAGGGATTTTTATATACTGACGAGCAAAACGGAGAACTCATCGACAAATTTTCCTTTTTTGAATCCAATAATTTTGATGAACAATAAACCGCTTCATAAATAATATATTAGAAACTGAAAATAATAGACTGGAGTTCACCAGGAAAGGACCCCGCACTATACTATAGGGAAAATGGCTCTCAATGAAAATCGCTGAATTTTGGTATGTTGCAGACTTTTATGTACTGAACAAATATTCCATCGAAGTAACCTCAAAAAAATGGACAGTTTTTCCGATATTGACCTCTAAATGTCATTTTTTCGAGAAAAAAAAGATCTGAGAATGGTTAAATTTTTGGCATATTGAATGAATGAATGAATGTTTGTTTATTCATGAATACGTACATTACATTTACATTTTTTTTTCATGCATAAATACAAAATATATCTCCTAAACATAATACTAAGTGAAATTTTAAATATAACAAAGTCTAGATATATCGTATATTGTAGATAGAAATGAACTGATGAAAAAATCTAATTGACCTAACCTCCAAAAATTGACAGTTTTTTCGATATTTACCTCCAAATGTACGTATGGAAAATAAGATGAACGGAATGCTAATCAATAGACAAAGTTGCTGTTTTCGAATTAGTATTTGGCATTCCATTCTTCTAAAAACAAATCTTCTTCATATGATACATCCACAGGTGAAGAAATCCGAAGAAGGATGTAATGAAATATATATTATTCAAAAGATGGTTATAGTCTTTCCGAAGTCAATGGGGTTGTAGGTATACACACTAGTTGAATTTATGCAATATATCTATTTTTTCTGCAACCGACACAAAAGTCGTCCATTTTGATACCAAAATTAGCTCTTAAATTGAAGTTTCTATTACTGACACAAAAATAGGTATGTTGCTAGGCAACATATTTAGTTCCTAGGAGCTAAAGTTGAATTTTAGTTCCTAGGAGCTAAAGTTGAACTTTAGCTCCTAGGAACTAAAAAGGATGTACTGGACTCGCAAATTTTGCTTTCGCTCGGCTTCGCTAAACGCTCCGCCTCGCAAATGCAAAATTCGCTTGTCAAACAAAGTGTCACTTTTGATCCTAATAAAACAATCTACCTTTTTTTTCTGTGACGGGAAAAAAGTTTGGCATTTCATCTCTGTTGGCAGGTTATAAAATGTCACTTTTCATAAAGTATTTTTTACCGTGGGAAAAAAGTGAGTACTTCTTTCCCGGATATATATCTCATATATATACACTGTTGATGGCTTTTGTTGTGCTATAGTTCCGAAAAATGAGTCAATAATACCGTCTCCGAGAAAGAACTGCAAGGCTAGGCTCTGGAATTCATTGCCTGAGGAAGTATTCCCAACAACATATAATCTCCAGAAGTTCAAAAAAAAATTCCAGTACCTACCTCCTATCCCTATCCTCCCTAGGAACGCACGATGTTCTTTGAACGTTATAGGGATTCCCTTTCGTGCGCTCCAAGCGATAAAAAAAGTCCTTTTATCTTCCATTTGACTTCGCGGTTATGTATATTACTAAACAACCACACTAAATTCGCAATTTTTTGAAATCAACTCAGAGAATTAGACTGACAGAAGTGACATCAGATATTTGATTACTTCAAAAGACTGATAAAGATTCCTACAACGCAGGTGTCCCTACTGTTAAAAACTTAAAATTCCACGTCGATAATTTTCAGATTTCAAAATAATGCAATATCTTCTCAATATTGATTCATCCTTTCTTCTGTCACAGAAAAAAATAGTGTATTATACACGGGAAAAATATTAGATTTTAGCTCACGGTTTTTTGTCTCCCTCTGCTACGCGTCGGGAGACAACACAACCTGGAGCTAAAATCTACACTTTTTTCCCTTGTATAATAAATAACTATTTCACTTGCTGATAGGAAAATAAAATTTCATAACCCCATGCAGATTTGGGAAATAAAATGCATTGAATGATTTTCATGGGGCTAATCAGTGAGCAGCACTGGAGAAGGCAAAGCTAGAGCCCATTTATTTCTTGATTGACCTAACTGGCATGAAGACCTTGATGACACCAAAGAAGGGGGCAAGTACTTCTGATAATAGATCTTCGGAAATAAAATGGAAATACATTATAAAACTTGACCAGATAAATAAATGCCAGATAACATGAAAACAAGCTGCACATATCAATCATATCATGTCTTCATTGTAACCACCAGGAAGTGTGCAATTTGTTTCATTTCCTTTGAAAAAAATATAAATCTTCATTAAATGACCAATGCCATACTTTCTACTGCCCAATGCCACAGGCTACTACTACTGAGAGTACTGAGGCTACTAGTGTGTTATTAAACTCACACCCATAATTGCATGTAATTTCAACAATTTCAACAACATTTGATAGCTGGTAAACACCATATGAACCAAAATTAGTAGAAACAAACCATGAAGTAAAATGATAAAACCCTAAATGGATATATACTCACCTTCATATATTAACTACAAGCTGAGAATATCATGATATTGTTAGAGCTGAAACTGATATGCTAATGCGACTATTGAATTGCAAATTGAAATACGAAATTCATCAAACTACATTACTACAAATTCATTAGCAAAATAGCAAATTTCATAATCAAAAATCAAATACATAAACATAATACACATAAAACATGACAATTATTCATGACAATTATAATGATAATGACAAATGACAGCGAACAGGCGGTTCAATATTCAGTGGTTCAATAGCGTATAGAGACAGGACGCAACAAATAAAATTGGTGGGGGTTTTCGGAGGGGGGTGATTTTTTGTCAAAATTGGGATATTCAAGATGGTGGATTCCATATGGCGAACGAGTTTTGTAATAAATAGTTGTTTGAAAAATCAATTGAACACGCGTTCGTAGATACAGTCGAATTAAGGAGAAGTAGTAGTGAATAGTAGTTTAAAAAAGTGAAGAGATAGATTGTCGAGCTGAAAACGAGTATAAAATGAATAGTATCTTGAAAAACTAAAGAAACACTCTTTTATGAATAGCCACAGCCGTCTTCAACTGACGGGAAATTTCAATTTGTAAGCTTCCCAACAGATGAACAGGACGAATCAATATTGGGAAGATATCACATTATTTTGAAATCTGAAAATTATGGACGTGAAATTTTAAGTTTTTAACAGTAGGGACACCTACGTTGTAGGCATCTTGATCATTCTTTTGAAGTAATCAAATATCTGATGTCACTTCTGTCAGTCTAATTTTGTGATTTGATTTCAAAAAATTGCGAATTCTAAGTAATATACGTAACCGCGAAGTCGAATGGAAGATAAAAGGACTTGCAGTTCTTTCTAGGAGACGGAATTATTGACTCATTCTTCGGAACTATAGCACAACAAAAGCCATCAACAGTGTATATATATATGTGATATATATTAGGGAAAAAAGTACTTACTTTTTCCCACGGGAAAAAAGTAATTTATGAAAAGTGACATTTTATAACCTGCCAACAGAGAAGAAATGCCAAAAGGGCTTTTAACTCGCAGTGTTCGCTGACTGTGAATAGGTGATTTCAGCCTGTGTTTCAGCTAAGCGATGTTTATCATCAAGTTGGCAACCCTGTGTACAGTATAGTATGATTGAGATAAAGGTGGATATATTTGAATGATGATGATATTGTGATGAATAGGAATCAGTGTTGCCAGAGCTGGTACATTTGTATAGATTGAGTACAATGCATATACCCTTTAGTACATTAGTACATTGAGCTTGAGTTTTTTTTTTATCGCTTGGAGCGCACGAAAGGGAATCCCTATAATGTTCAAAGAACATCGTGCGTTCCTAGGGAGGATAGGGATAGGAGGTAGGTATTGGAATTTTTTTTGAACATTTATTACATTATCTGTAGCAATAAAAACAAAAGTATGAATGACTGGCAGATCATCTGCTTATCATTTCTTCAACCAGCCGGCTGACCATGATGAGAGACATCATCAACTTCAACTGTCACTAGGTACTGTCAGTAGAGTTCTAATGTTTTTTCAAATATTTCATGTACAGTCATCTTTCATTATGGATGATGCTGCATATATTGTGTATCTTTTTAGCTATTATTCAAGGATATCACCTATAGGATATTTGTTTCTGATTTTTCTTCATATCCAATGAAGCTAGTCATTTTTCATGGATGACACTGTATATGTTTTGTATCTTTTTGGCTATGTACCTGATATGACATTTTTTATTTTTGAACATTTTTCACACTTTCTTATAAGTATATGATGAAGTCATTTCTGATAATGAGAAATAAAAATTATCGTTCATCAATTTTCTTATCGATTTTTTCAATATTTCATATCTGGTACATTCCTTTCGATTTTAGTACAATTCAATAGTGATTTCAGTACAATTAGTTTTTTTCTTCTGGCAACACTGATAGAAATAGACCTTGAGTCTTGAGTCAAACCTTGAGTTATGTTTGTGTTGTGACTGTTGTGTACTTGTAGTTGTAGATGTAGATTCATCATGGTAGAATTGGTAGATTCATAGATTGTTTATCATGATAATATGATATTATCTACTGTGATGATATAGGTGTAGGATGTAGGTGGATGTTGAATCCAAGTACCTACCAAGAATCTTTTACTCTCTTATTAGAAAAATTACCAGAATGAACGTCTTGGAAAGCAAGGTAGCAGATATTCTTCGTTTAACTCAAAGAGATGAGTTATTCGTGCGTGATATTGAAGAACAAATGCATTCATTCCTCAAATTGATAGGAACAAGGACTTATCATAAAATGAATAAATTAATTCCTGTGATTGCAAATCTTTGGTATTATTTTATGACCACTTTGGGAAATCTGCAGACATTGGGAGAAGAATACACAGGAACTATTAGGGTTAACAACAATGGAAAAATACCACCCAAAATGGTCAATAATAATGAGGATCCATAAATTTGGATAATATATATATTTTTTTTCAGATGCAAACCTTGTGGTTAGTTTTATATGTAGGAGGAGAACCTTTATTGGACAGGTTATTGAATTATTCCAAGATACACATAAATGGATCATCAAGTTTAACAATGAAAGCAAAATCTTTGTTTATAAGTTGTATTGATGTCTTCAAAGATGAAAAACCAAATTTGAAAAGGATACATACAGCACTTTTTTATATGGATGGAAGATACTATAATATTTCAAATAGGCTAGCAGGCATTCGCTATGTAGGTTTGACTCTGATAGCAGCTTTTATGTATATTCAATCAATAGGTAGTTGGAACTAGAAATGAAAATCATAATTTTTCTATTTTTCAGGTGTTACTTAGAGAATGGCTCCAAAATAATTCTTTCATAAGAAGTTTCAGTTTCCTTGGACATATTACCCTATTTTATATCCTTTTCAATTTGGTTTCAAGAATCACATTCAAAAAAGCAGAAGAGAAGCAAGGAAGTGAAATGATTCTATCAAACATTTCAAGAAAATCATGTGTACTTTGTGCAGACAACATCAAATCTGCATGCTCAACACCCTGTGGTCATATTTTCTGCTGGGATTGTATTCATGATAGTTTGAGTTACCAAAAAACTTGCCCTATTTGTAGGGAAAATGTTCAACCCAGTAGAATTATATTTTTACAGAATTTTGCATAACATGGATAATTGTTTTTTTCTGTGACGGGAAAAAAGTTTGGCATTTCATCTCTGTTGGCAGGTTATAAAATGTCACTTTTCATAAATTACTTTTTTCCCGTGGGAAAAAAGTGAGTACTTCTTTCCCGGATATATATCACATATATATACTCTGTTAATGGCTTTTGTTGTGCTATAGTTCCGAAAAATAAGTCAATAATACCGTCTCCGAGAAAGAAAAACAACTACTGAATTCGCAATTTTTTAAAATCAAATCACAGAATTGAACTGACAGAAGTGACATCAGATATTTGATTACTTCAAAAGAATGATGAAGATGTCTATAAAACGCAGGTGTCCTTACTGTTAAAAACTTGAAATTTCACGTCGATAATTTTCAGATTTCGAAATGATGTAATATCTTCCCAATATTGATTCGTCCTTCCTTCTGTCACAGAAAAAAATAGTGTATTATACACGGGAAAAATATTAGATTTTAGCTCACGGTTTTTTGTCTCCCTCCGCTACGCGTCGGGAGACAACACAACCTGGAGCTAAAATCTACTACTTTTTTCCCTTGTATAATAAATAACTATAATTTTATTCCTTGGTAGTCTGATATACAGTGTCTTTCAAGAGTATCGGAACGGTCTTATATTTCAGGAACGGCTTGAGAAAAATTCACGAAATTTCCAACAGGGTGATTATTGATGATGTCCGATTCAATGGTGGCATCGGCAATGTTGCCAAGTTTACACTTTTTCAGATATTAGGAGTAACTTCATTTTTTCAAATGGAATACCCCATTTATTTTTATTGCAATCAATTAAGCGCCTCCTAATTACTGGAGTCCCTGATTATCAGATTCGTAATTAACGTGATTTTCGAAATATGACAACATAGCATTTTCGTTAAAAAGTTCTGGAACGGTCCCATATTTCAGAAACGGCTCAGAGAAAATTTATGAAACTTCGACAGGATGGTTTTTGATGATGCCCAATTCAATGGTGATATCGGCAATGTTGCCAAATCAACAGTTTTTCAGATATTTGGGGTAACTCAATTTTTTCAAATAGAATACCCTATTTGTTTTCATTGCAATACATTCAGCGACACCTCATTACTTATGTCTCCAACTATCAGATTTTAAATTGAAGTGGTTTTCGAAATATGACAACATGGCATTTTCGTTCAAAAGTCTGGGAACCTTCTAATATTTTCAATACGGTTCAAGGAAAATTCATGAAATTTCATACAAGATGGTTTCTGATGATGCCCGATTCAATGATGATATCGGCAATGTTGCCAAATCAATAGTTTTTCAGATATTGAGGGTTATTAAATTTTTTCAAATGGAAAACCCTATGTATTTTCGTTGCAATCAATTCAGCTCCCCCTCATTACTTATGTCTTCAAATATCAAATTTGAAATAAGTGTGGTTTTTTGAATATGAGAATATGCTTCGTTGAAATGTCCGCGAACGCTCCAATATTTTTAAAAGGGCACGCAAAAATATGAAATTTTATTGCGATCAATTCTGAAAAACTGTTGATTTGGCAACATTGCCGATATCACCATTGAATCGGGCATCATCAACAACCATCCTGTCGAAGTTTTCATAAATTTTCTCTGAGCCGTTTCTGAAATATGGGACCGTTCTAGAACTTTTTAACGAAAATGCTATGTTGTCATATTTCTAAAATCACGTTCATTACGAATCTGATATTCAGGGACTCAAGTAATTAGGAGGCGCTTAATTAATTGCAATAAAAATAAATGGGGTACTCCATTTGAAAAAATAAAGTTACTCTCAATATCTGAAAAACTGTGAACTTGGCAACATTGCCGATGCCACCATTGAATCGGACATCATCAATAATCATCCTGTAGAAAATTTCGTGAATTTTTCCTGAAATATGAGACCGTTCCGATACTTTTGAAAGACACTGTATGTACCTGATTTAAAACAAATTCATTTTGATATCTGTGTGATGGAGTTGATGGTGTTCATACTTTGTTTTGCCAGAAGCGTGGTGGTCATTAGAGTAGTGTTCCTTCTTCCGAGCGAAAAGACCGGGGTTCGATGACTAGACTCTAGTATTTTCCATTCACATTGCCCGTTAAACCCGGTTTGAGTATTTCGGTAACTTCGGTTAAGGTGGTGGCATAATGACGTCAACATTGACAACAGAAGTATTTGACAGAAGTTGGTCTCGCTTTGAGGACAGCTATGCTTCATATATAGAGTAGTAGATATATGGATAACGTACATCTGAGACGTACATCATCCGCCTTGCATCATCCGTATTTCGTAAACCCACTACTCTTGCACTACTACATGGAAAAACAAAAAATGCACATGCGTAGCTGTCAGTTTCTACGTTTACGCAATGAACTCAAGCAGAGATAAGTTAGAGTTTACGTTAACGTTCATGGTTAAGGGCCAGTGGCCACAAGTTTGAAGTTTGCCACGCCACAAGGGTGGGTGGTCTGTGAAGGCAGCACTTCAAATCTCAAAATAGTCAAAATCTCTAGTCTCAGTCTCTATTTAGCCAACAACTATTTAGCGTGATTTAGCTTTGAGACTTTTGTGTTAAGAGATCGATAATTATTGATTGAGAATTGAAATTTGAAATTCATCAGTGAAAATGATGCGTCATGAAATCATTAAAAATATAATATCAGTTCATCGGGGTATTACTGGAATTCGCCAAACCAGTTCACATGTCAACATTGAAAATCTTGAAAAAGAATCTGTCCTAACTGATAATGACTGTAAGATTTCAACTTCATCTATTGATACCACTTGATATTTTCAATAACAATTGCCCCTTCTAGTTATTGTTGATGATGAGCATAGATGTAAAGAAGAGCAAATAGAGAAGAGCAGAAACAAATCACGCCTCAGGTCCCATGACCGGAATATTGTTATGGAAAAGAATCCTTACCTTGAACCTATGCTTTGGCATCATGGAACAATCAAGTACCTCAGAAGAACTTATGGACGTTATGGTCAATCTTCAGGAGTAAATCCATCCATCTGCTGGCCTACTAAGGAAGAGCTGGAAAATGTCATGGAATATGAAATGGTCAAGTATCCATATACTATTCCCCAAATGATTGCAGAGGCCAAACAAAAAAGAAAGGAGAATGATGAAAAGGTAATGGCTAGACAACAAGGAATTGTTGAAAAACTGAAGAAGTTAGAGGGCTGGAAACAGGATTTATACAACAGAATATCAAAAAAGGAGAGTGAGGCTAAAGCAGCTAAAGTGAGTATAGAGATAGGGTGATGTTCTTACTTTTGAAGTGGTTACTACTAGTTGAACAATCTCATATTGACAAATGATATTCTTGAAACATCACTACTAACTAGGCTCTGACCTGTGCAAGTAAGCCTTAGCCATAAAAGAGAAAGTTACTCATACATCAAAGTTTCCTTTCTATTATGCCTGGTTTCTCAGGTTAGGAACTTGGACTTCAGAGAAATTTATCACTTCATTAAAGGATTCTTTCAAACTACAACAGGAAACAGGAAATAATTGGTGTATTGATTATCTAATCTAGAATAATATAAGTTGTGTTGGTATTATGAATCTAACAAATTGAGAATTAATTTCTGTCAAATAATGTGACTGAGTTATAATTTCATTTTTAGGAACGTAAAGAAAGGTTAGTAGAAGAAGTTAGGAGGCACTTTGGTTTCAAGGTAGATCCCAAAGATGATAAATTCAAAGAAATGTTGGAGAAAAAAGAGAAACAACAAAAGAAAGCTATGAAAGAAGAAAGACAGAAAATTAAAGAAGCTAAAATGGTAGAAAAGTTATATAGTAAAAAAATTTAATCCCAGGAAGTTGCAGAAAGCCAAAATAAATTACCAGAATGATGAGTCTATATTAGTTTAATAAAAATTTGTTACAACATTTAATAATTATTTTGGTAATTTCAACCCTTTCAGTAGGTAGGTATCCTCTATTCCCTGAACAACAGTTGCCAACAAAATTCATTAGTCATCATACCTACTTCCATCCTACATTGAATATGGCCCCAGTGAATACAGATGTATGTAGGAACCTCAGAAAGGAACAGTTCATTTTATCACAAGTGTGTTGCTGCCATAAACCGCATTGTGTAAAATTAATCATTCACAGATTCAGCATGAAAAACTTGAAAACTAATAAATGATATTTTTGAAGCATCACAGACATAAGGTACCTATATATTTCCACTACCTACTTATATTACCTAGGTAATTTGGTAGTTATTGTGAGAGGAATGGGTAGGTAGGTTTAATTTATAGCTCCCTAACTAGTTTCTAACCCTTGACCCTATTCATAATCAGTATAAGTACATTTTTTGAGTCTGCTCCTCAGGAGATGGAATATATGTCAAGGGCCCTAGGTGAGATTGAAAACACAATGTGGATAGTTAGTGCTGAAAACATTCCTAATTTTTTTTTTTCTTTCAAAAAAAAAATCTCCATATGTGCGAAGGTCTCAAAATCAAAATGGTAACGATGTTGGTCTGAGAGATTTAGAATATGGATTGCGAGATTGCAGAAATCTTTATGGAAAAATCATGAGTATTGTAATTTAGCTACAGATGGCTCTGCATGTGATTGTTCGATATCTATTTATTTTTGAGAGGGAAGGCGGAGAGAATGGGAAGAAAACAGGCTTTAGAACGCTTACTATGCGCAGTCGGATTGCGCGTGAGTCTTCGCGTTATCCAGATTCTTTGTACCATTCCTAGCATACCACAAACAGACAAACTCCTCGTATTAACGGACCAAAATTCGTCCTAATTATCCAATAAAGTTGGTGAAGAGGCTCGTATTCTCGATTTTGGTAAGTGCATAGTAGTTTATGATCGTTTTTCATACAGTTTTCGCTGTGTTTCCTCTGAAATATCCGTTAGAATGTCAGCAATGTGTCTATAATTCCTACAATACTTTACATACTTGTCATGCTTGGTGTTACGAAGTTCTGACGATCGGGAACGACGGCGGGTCTCGGTCCCGTTTGAATTTCGAAATTCAGTTTGTCAAAAATCTCAAAATGATAACAGTCGAAACGGGGTGATTTCGGAAAGTTTGTCGACAACAGTGATATGTGCTCAGTGAATATGGACTGTCTTTTGTTTGTGCGTTTGATGGGCGACGGTGTTTGATGGATAGTGTAGTGGAGTGGCTAGTTATAAATCTAGCAGTCGGACATCGTACAATGTTTACATCAATTATTTTTTAGTATAGTGTGTGATAAGTTACCTATGGATTTGAATATATAGAAATGCATGAGCCTGCATGGGCTAAACAAGGTGGGGTGATCGGGTGATCACTAATTAGTGAAATTAAAAATAATTCGTGACATTTGTGATTATTTATATACAAATACATTTCGTTGTTCCACATCAGCCGACGGAAAACGAACGGAATAAAACCTGCATTTAATTTTGGATTACCTACCTATACAATTTTAGCAGTTTTTTCGAGAGTTTTTTCTCTTGAAACTGAAGCAGGCATGTACCTAGGTATGTTTGGTTTTGTTTTATTTTTGTTTTGTCCTCTTTATTTTCTTTTTGTTTTTGGAAAACCCACTGGGGAAGGTGAGTAATTAAAAATTCGTTTAAATCTCAAATTCATTATAATTCAGTTGATGTTGCATGAATCCACCCTCGAATCCACCTTTAATCCACAATGTTTTTAGAGGATTTTAAAATTAGACTATTGAAGAAGATCATGGATTAGTCCGAAACGTCTGTTCTCAGACTCATGTTATCATATATCATTGAACTCGTCTATCTGAGCTCTATCTAAGAATGAAATGAAATACAGGGTGTTCTATTTGACAATTTCGAGAAGATGATGGGTTTGCAAAATACGTCATTACTTTTAGAAAATTGAAAATTTCTAAATATTGACGAAATATCAAGATAACATATAGAATTTGCTAATTGATGACGAAAACTGGGCATCGAAAACTTGATTCCTCGCTTGATTCTGAACGATTCTGAAGAGCTTTGAAATTTGGATATTTATTGAAGAAGATCATGAATAAATCCGAAACGGGTTATCTCAGATCCAATGTTATCATATATCATTGAACTCGTCTTCTTGAGCTCTATCCAAGGACGAAATGAAATTTAGGGCATATTTGAAAAATCGTATAAATCTATGCCACAGGCATATGTGGATCATCCCGAGGATCATCCTGTGTAGTTTATATTATCAACAAAAGAAAGTTCGTATGACTATAAACAATTTAGATTCTCAATTGTTTTTGTATCCATTCTAGTTTACCAGAAGGGGGTGGTTCATCTAATGTGGGGTAGGTACCCCGTAATCCATTCGAATTCGATTAAATACGAGGAGGTATACACAGGTAAAGGGAAATATTTCAATGGTAGATAACGGAGATTCACCGATTTCGAATAATTATATTCATTCGTCTATATGTATTAACCTACCCAGTATATTTTTCTCAAATTGGGTAAGGAGCTTATACTTGGGACGTTAAATTCATTCACCTATCGGGCGGAGTGATATTCCAGGTTCGGCTTCAGGAAAAATTTACATTTAATCGAAATAAAATAACACACTGTATTCAATAATTAACACAGTACCAGGTGATTCAATAAGGATGACGAGATTTTGTATCTGAGGAGCTAAGAATTTTGCCAACAAGGCCTGTATCAAGAAAGGAATGTTTGACGAATGAAATAAAAAATCATACATGTCATTCTGGGGTTCTTACCGCCCTCGCAAAGGGGCGTGTTTTATAGACTATTATTTTCTGAAATACAGTACCTCGCCACCCTTATTGAATCACCTGGTACATCAAAAGAATTGTGAGGAGGAGGAAAAACTGAATTGGGTTTGATGCTTTTTGTTTTCCCGCCACCAATTCTCATCGTAACAATCATAAACAGAAAGTTGAAAATATGTCAATTTGAAGTGTATTGAAATTATGAAACCAGTGTCAATTATGATTATTCGATATATTTTAGTCAAAATATCTTTCGAAAGAACTTACTAAGTCTCACAGTCTTTATAACGGAGATACACGGTGAATTATCGGTTTTGAATAATCATTCACTCGTCCATAAGTATTAAACTACCCAGTAACATTTTCTCAAATTTGGTATGTAACTTACTTGGGACGATGGATTCATTAACCTATCAGGCGGAATGGAAATAATACCAAATAATTATAATTCGATAATTATTCACCCTGTATCTCTGTTGTAAAGACTATGAGACTTTTCCTGAAGCTGAACCTGTATCTCCATTCTCCTTGATAGGTCAATGAATCCATGGTCCCAAGTAGGCTCAATACCAAATTTGAGAAAATATTACTGCGATGAGTAGTTCAATATACTTATGGACGAGTGAATAATTATTCGAAACCGATAATTCACCCTGTATCTCTGTTATAAAGACTGTGTGACTTACTAAGTTCTTTCGAACGATCATTAAACAAGAATATATCAAATAATCATAATTGAAAGTGGTTTTTCATAATTTCAATACTCTTCAAATTGACATACTTTTAGCATTCTGTTTATATGATTGTTAGTATTGTTACGATGAGAATTGGTGGCGGGATAACAAAAAGCATCAAACCCTCGATCAAACCCAATTCAGTTTTTCCTCCTTTTCACGATTCCTTTGATGAACTCTGTCAATTATCACATACAGTGTGTTATTTTAATATTTCGAATAAATGTAAATTTTTCCTGAAGCCGAACCTGGATTCTCACTTCGCCCGATAGGTGAATGAATTCAACGTCCCAAGTATAAGCTTCATACCAAATTTCAGAAAAATAGACTGGGTTGTTCAATACTTATAGACGAATGAATAATTATCCGAAATCGATAAATCGCCCTGTATCTCCGTTATGAAAACTCTAAGACCTATCAAATATGGTATTTTCTGAACCACCTTGGTGACCCCTATGTACCATCGAAATATTTCCCTTTATCTGTGAAACAACCTGTATAATCGCGGCCCGAAAACTTATTGTATACCAAACTTCCTTAAACTTCCTCGGTTTTCCCCGAACCACCTGTACAGTGTAGACTGTACATCAAACTTCGTGATTACCCCCTCTAAATATTTATCTCGAAATTTGTAAGCCCGTAGTAAGGATACCTCCGGATACCTCTCAGCGAGTCTCTCGGTATACCTTAACATCGAATATCAACTGTCTGAAAGTTGATATTGATATTGAAGAGAGCTGCATAAAGATCGGTCAATTTTTTCAAAAAATACAGGTCTTCGAAATAGAGCCAAATTATGGGTGGTCCATTATTTAGTGTGTTGAGAACTGTATATGATCAAATCTGCACGGTACTGGTAGATGGTTCCCAACGGTCCCCAAGGTACAACCATCGTCCCTTATTCATATTTGCACTATATATATCAGTTCAAGTTTGACTATAGATAGAAAACTCATTTTTGACTTTATTATTCTCAATAATCAATCATTTCACCGACAGCTTTCATAATCAAGAAGATCATTTCAAGATTCTGAGCAAGTTCAGGGAGTTCGGGGAAGTCTAAGGAAGTTCAAGGAAGTCTGAGTGAGTTCGAGGATGTTGGGGGAAGTTTGGGGAAGATTGAGGAAGTTTGGGGAAGTTCGAGGAAGTTTTGGGGAAGTTCCATACGTAAAATTTCACCATAGATCTAAACGAATATTTGCCGAATGTGACTGACAAATTGACAATGCGAACCGTTACACTTGTACATCAGTGAGAATGACTGAAAAACACTCGAAAAAATTAGGTGATATGATCAGAGACGCACCATTTGTATTATTTCGAGGTATAGTAAGAAATGAGAGACATTGAACGAAGCTGTTGACGTGAACCTATTTTGGTTCTTTGAAAATCGCACTTGGAAATAACTTATCGACAAGAA